ACACCTCACCGATAAAGATTTACAACACCTAACACCACCAACTTTGTTCACAATATAGACAAGTTTATATTACTCTCATTTTGACCAAACTCAAAATTAATCCCCAAACTACTCAAGGAGTAATAACAAGGTTCCTTAGAAATAATTAAGCATTGTAACCCAAGTTTTCCAATAGCAAGCTTAAGAAAATGGTTTAGTGCTTCACCACTATCTATCTCATGACTCACCACTTGTAAAACCATTATAACCAATATGTATTAAGATAGGGACTCTTAGTTGCATGATATGAATATGAGCAATAAAATCACATTTTGTTGCCAAACCATCTCTCGAAGAATAAAAAATGATTTATGTATTTGATCTTTTGTCCCTAACGACTCATTTTATTTGAACTCAACTTGACCAAACCTCAAACTTACATTTGCACTACCTTTAGTTTAATCCAAGAAAATTTTATAACGAGTATGGTAATGACTACTTGAACTAATAGACTAATCCATATAGTATTGATTGATCCATTTATAATTATGTCTAGGAAGGATCCACTAATGCTTTGCTAAATAGATATGACATAACTTATTTGCCATTTATAGCAAACCCAAGGGAGGTTTACTTTTACCTATGGTACAAGGAACAACTCATGGTAACCAACAATAGGCTAACATTAATTTTACCAACTCAAAATGTATCCTTGAGTTGTTAATGTGCCTCACTCATAAGCTTAAGTGCAAACTTGTGCAAATGGTACACCTCAATCCTTCTTAATCCTTCTTATAAGCCCAAGTGCAAGCTCATACAATATGGTACAAAAAGGTAACTAAAATCTATACCCAAGGAATAAATGCGAAGTCATAGCACCCAAATGTGTACTCAATCGGATCATTGTTTTCATCTCTATATATACAACGAGACTAGTTGCCTAATCTCATTGGATAGTACTTGCTAAAACTCATCATTTAATACTAAATGTAGTGCATATGGTTTTCACCCTTTATCCTATGGTGATTTACCATAAGATAACTAAACCCTCCACATGCCACATGCCACATACCACATGTCCAAAGATAGCAAAGTAGAATCCAAATTTTAGGGCCTTGGGCCACTAAATGAGGAAATGAAGCCAAACTCTCAAGCATAAAGCTTAAAAGTGAAGGAAGTAGAGCATGAAATAACTCTTAAGTATACAACCTAAGGAACAAAGGGATAAGAGCACGGAGTGGCATAGAAACAATTCTAAAGCATCTAGCATCCCATTATTGAAACTAACACACAAAATGGAACCAAACAAAGTTTGGCATTATTTCAGCATACTGGTGACATAACATAAAGATATTAGTACTCCACCAACTAACATAATATGAAATTTGGACTTAAACCCAAGTTAGACATAAAATAAGAACAAATACATAAGTGAGAGCTAGAGTATACCTCAAGTTGGTCAGCTATGCCCGATTTACCCACTATCCTTACTATACATTTAGAACCCCCTACACTAAAATTGATAAAGGGTCTAACAATATAACTTTCTATTGTTGTGGTAGTAAGAAAAGAATATCTAAAAAGACTTGTTAATAAATAACTTTCAATACCCATAGTCATATATGCAACACATATATTGACAATGTTTTTCCAATGTTGATTATGCTAAATTGAAAACCAACTTTCCATATTTTGTGGCAATATAAACCATTTTTGGGAGTGATATCCATCTTTTCACTCTCTCGAGCTTATATAGTGAATATAACATTTGTTCTAGAAAACAAGAACATCTAATTCAATTAAAGCTTATTTGATTAGACTCTATTCTTTCTTCATAAATCCCTAAACCTTTACATATGCATAATTTTTGAAAGATCAATCTATTAAATGTCATGCCAAAGTTCATAAACTTGCAATCCAACTTATCGTAATACTTGATATGATCCTTTCCATTGAGCAAAGAACCTTTTAGACAAACCACATATCTTAAAATTAGGAAAATGAATTAATACTAGATTATCCACTTTATACTCCTCAGATGGATGATGATGGAAATTGTAATGTCATTGTTATCCCACTTATATGTAACCCAAGTGTTCAATAAAATTCATTTGAACTAGAATGTTTATCAAATACTAATATTAAAACTAACATTATCAGCTCATGGAAATCATGAAGGTAAACTCAACTTTATTAGTAATACCAAATCATGACTATATAAAAATTTATATGGTGAAATACCAAGAAAACTCTGTACCTTTATAACATATATATACTGAAAAGATGGCAAATAACCATCTCAATCCAAATATTAAAAGTTAACATACTTTATTATCATCCCTTTAAAGGTCCAAATCAATTCCACCAAACCAGCTATTTTTGGATAATAAACACTTATGAAAGTGTGGTATATCCCTAATTAAAATGTCAAAACATTAAATATCTTAGCCATAAAAGTGGAATTATTATCTGAGAAAATCCACTCTAAACAAAAATGTTAGAACACTATTCAATTGAAGATTGAAGTATCTAACAACAATCTCAAATGCATTAGTAAGAGCATTAACTTTTAATCAATGAATCAAGTAGTTAAGATAATAATAATATAGTTGACCATAGAAAAAGCCCTATTAAATCAAATGCTATTAACTCAAACAGATAAGAAATTACAATTAATTTCAATTATCCTTTTGTAGCATAAAAGAGCCCATTTCCCACAGTTATCACCTTAGAAAAATGCTCTTTACTTTGCCTCTTCTTTTACCTTGCCCCTAGTACTCTTGCTGCTTATAGAGACTTCTAAAAAAATCTATCTATTGGGCGAGCTCCACACCAAAATTTTTTAAAATAGTTCTGAAGCACAAGAATCTTGACAAGTTTCCCAGCAGCCTTGGCCTTAGAAATTCCCTCTTCAGCTGGTACAAGAAACATTTGTAGAGGCTTGCTCTTGTATACTGTAGCTCTTGCCTTCACAATTGCTGATAAACTATTGCAGAAAATCTGATGCATTGCTATCAGGGTCTTGATTTAGAACCCGTGTGGCTATAATAGAGTTGCCTAATAAACCTATATAAGCTGATTAGGCTTATAGGGTGTGATTGCACGCCCTATCAATGGGATTGCCAAGCTGAAATATTTACCCACACCAAGCCATGGCTTCCTCCTATGTCTCTATGTGATCCTTGTCTTTTTTCTCCATCAAAATACATACACAGAGCATTTATTTTATCCTCCCCTTTGTAAGCCACAAATTTTTCCTTTCCAATTTGCCAGCTTACCTTGTCTATCCGTCCAACCATGCCTTGGGTTTTGCTAAGTTCCCTCGCCAAGGTTCCCACCTATGGTACCAACTCCTACTTGGTCTTACTTGGTTTCAACTACTCACTTCACGAACAACGGAGCGTTAACCATCCATCCACGGATTCCCAAATCTCTCCCAATCCCCCTCCCCGGGTTAGATTGGACTTAAGGTTCGGCTACACTCCCCGCAGGTACAAGCAGCCAAGCACACCAAGCCTCCAGGTTCCTAACACCCCTTGGTACCACAAGACTTTGATCATGGAACCCTCTAAATCCCAAGTCTTGGGTGCAACACTTGCTTCGGGACGCCGGGGTGAAACACCGTGGCCTAACGGTCCGGTATGGGTACCTCTACCCCCCCACTTCCATCCCGAAGGAAGGCCCAAGCCCCTAGGAAGGGCGAGGACCAATGAGCCGCATGGTACTCAAGTGGGGCACCACTCCACATGAGCCGGGAGCACCGTAGTCGGTTTCCCTTTCGGGAGTGGGAGCTGCTCTTGAGCACTTCCTTGGATGGCCCCTTCAGCACCAACCAAGTCCATGTTCACTCCCACCCAAGGCCCTTCGGTCCCAGTCCCAACCTCAAGTCAATTTGGAAGCCCCACTTAAGAGTTCCTTCAAAACTGGTTCCTAGACCTCACTATCCCTACTATACTTTTGGAACCCCTTGCAACCCCCCCCCCCCCCCCAGGAGACACACGCTTTGGGCTTTCACCCCTTGACCCGGTCCTAGACTTTATTTCGAACTCGGTCTCAGAGTCGGTCTTGGACTCGATCTTCGACTCGGTCCCATTCGATGAACTCTTTGTCATTTTGGTCATGCTTTCGGGGATCCTTTAGCCTACAACACCTTGGCGAGTTGGTTCTTTACACCCCTCTACTTTGTTGTTTTGTGCTGCACATTCAAAAACTTGAGATAAATGTTAAAATCTTCACCATTGTAGGTTAGGTATTTCACATGGAAGATCTTTTGATCAAGCTACCCAAGTGTGCAACTTCAATTAGATGCATAGCAAATGGACATGAGTGCTTCCCTAATCTTGTCACCATCCCATCCCTAGCCACCCAGTATTCCACCATCCCCAAAAAGCATAATTCCTCACTTGCTAGGTCCAAAGAGCCTACAGCTGAACCAGCTCTCGAGGATCCTAAGAACAACAGATCCTACTTAGGAACAGAGGACCTCTCCTTGCCATTGGAAGTTGCCATGTGATCATGGTGTAGAGCCTATGTATCTACAAAGACAACAGGGTGTCAATAAGTTTCCCGTCATGAAGAAATCAAGTGTCAAAAATACATCCCAACCATGTATACAATGTTTGACTTCATAAAGAAGCATGCAAATTGCCACAACTCAACATGAAATTCAGCAGATTGGGACACTACATCTGCTAGTAGAAGTTACCAGAATTTGACTGGAACTTGTGACACTCCACGTCACATTACCATGTATAGAAGTCACCACCTCATGAAGTGTGACACTCCATGTCACTCAAGAAACCACTACAGCTAGCAAATTCAATCAGTGCCTTTCATCTCTACCAAACTTCAGGTGTATGCCCAAGCAAGGCTTATGGAAACATTTCAACAAGAAATGACTTACAGCGTCTCAGATGAGCTCCAAAACCACCACTTCTTGCTCTCCATGTTAAACTAAAGAATATTCGCAAAGCCTAAAACCTAACGCTTAAAGGTGTGGTAAACTTTAACCCCTTGGAAGGCAAGGGCTAGGGCTTCTTCATTCCAGGTAAGAAAGAGCAATGTAGGGTTGCGCTAGCTAGGGAAGATCAAGGTCACCATGGATCTCTTACCGCCGCTGCTAAGATTGTGGCCGCCGCCGCTCCTACTGCCACTGCTCCTCGTTCTTGTGGGTTTCATCCACTGCCAGACCGACTTGGAGTGCCTCAGCGAGTTCCGCCTCTCGGTCATCGATCAATCGGGCTACCTGAGCTCCTGGTCCGCCAACAGCAGCTCCAGCAGCTCCATTTGCAACGCTGTGGGCGTCCAGTGCCTCCACCCATCCGAGGCCAAGATTTATTCCCTATCCCTCCGCGCCGCCGGCCTCTCGGGCTCCTTCCCCCGGGGTCTCGACAAATGCTCCAGTCTCACGGGCTTGGATCTCTCGGGCAACTCCTTCTCGGGCGCCATCCCCGCGGATCTCTGCAAATCGCTGCCCTTCCTCGTCCGCCTCGACCTCTCGGGCAACGACTTCTCCGGATCGATCCCCGGCGAGCTCTCCCAGTGCCAGTACCTTAACGCCCTGGATTTGCAGCAGAACCACCTCACTGGCAGCATCCCCGGGCAGCTCGGTGTTCTTCCGCGCCTCGCGGAGCTCCACCTCGAGGGCAACCAGCTCAGCGGCGAGATCCCGCCCATCCTCGCCAGTCGCCCCGCGCCGAATTTCCAGTTCCAGGACAATGCCGGGCTGTGCGGTCCGCCGCTCTCCAAGAGCTGCGGCGGCGGGTCGAAGGCCAGCGCCGGGATCATTGCCGGGACTGTGGTTGGCGGCGCGGTGATCCTTCTCGCAATCACCGCCGTGGCGTTCTACTTGAGCCGCCGGCCCAAGACGATGCGCGACGACACCACCTGGGCCAAGAAGATCAAGGCGCCGCGCAGCATCACCGTGTCCATGTTCGAGCAGTTCCTTGTCAAGATCAAGCTCTCGGATCTCATGGCCGCCACCGAGAGCTTCTCGCGGGACAACGTCATCGACGCCGGAAGCGCCGCCACCGGGGTGGCGTACCGCGCGACGCTCCGGGACGGGTCCGTACTGGCGGTGAAGCGCCTGGCGCCCGCGCCGCGCGGTAGTAGCAGCGACGCCGCACAGTTTCGGGCCGAGGTGGAGGCGTTGGGCCTGGTCCGTCATGCCAACCTGGTACCGCTACTCGGGTACTGCGTCACGGGCGGCGAGCGGCTCCTCCTGTACAAGCACATGACCAACGGCACGCTGTGGAGCTGGCTGCATGACGCCCACGGCACGCTGGACCGGCTCGACTGGCCCGCGCGGCTCAAGGTGGCGCTGGGCGCGTCGCGCGGCATGGCTTACCTCCACCACGGCTGCAACCCGCGGATCCTCCACCGGAGCCTCAGCACGCACACGATCCTCCTGGACGACGACTTCGACGCGAGGATCACGGACTTTGGGCTAGCCCGGATCGTGGCGCCCGCGGGCGGCCACCTCAATGCGGACGTCCTTACCGCCGGCGGCACGGTGGGTGACCCGGGCCACGACGCGCCCGAGTACCGCCGGGTGCCCATCACTACCGCCAAGGGCGACGTGTACAGCTTTGGTGTCGTGCTGCTCCAGCTGCTAACGAGCCAGAAGCCGCTGGACGTGACGGTGGGCGATTTCAAGGGGAGCTTGGTGGAATGGGTCGGGGCGCTCTACGCGAGTGGGCGGAGCGGCGACGCCATCGACAAATCGCTCAGCGGTGGCGCTGCGGACGATGGGGAGCTGCTCCAGGCGCTCAAGATCGCGTGTGGGTGCGTGCTCTACGCGCCCAACGATCGCCCATCCATGCTCGAGGTGTTCGAGCAGCTGAGGAAGATCGGGGAGAGGTATGATTTCACTGACGAGGGCGATGAGATCCCGATTGCCGCGGCTGCTAGCGATGAGACAGCGGCGACGCAGCAGCGATCCAACGGGAATGGGGCGAGCTTGTGAAGGAGATCGATCGTTTGTGACAGTATATTGCTAATAGCTAATGCTTGAAAATGCAAGTGCTTGGATTAGGGTTCTTCGCGATGTTTGTGGAGCTGCTGCTTCCGACGCGGCTAGCGGCGGGATGATTCTTGCTGCGAGCAATGGTGGCAGGATCTTCCGGCGGGTGAATTTGGGGCAGGGATGCTCCGGTCCGTGCTGTTCTTCGTCTCGATTCTCCATCTCCAAATTGGTGTCGCCCTCTCGCGGTGATGAGGGCAAGCAAGCACAGCAGCAGCAGCAGCAGCATTCGCTGAGTAGGAAGATTAGCAACGACGATCTGTCGCGCTACGGGCTGGATCAGTCGGATTTCGACGTGATGAGGAAGGTCCCGGATCAAATTCTCTACGAGGAGGACTCGGACGATTGGGCTGCCTATCTCCTCCTCTCCGCCGATTGCAAGAGGACCTACGTGGGGATTACTCGCAATGTCCATCGCAGGTATCTCAAAAGCTCTCTTTGAGCTTGTTTTTCTCTTGGATAAGTTGGCCATTTGTCGCTCGAGTTCATGGATTGATCGCGCTAAAGTTTTGACGATTTTGTTCCAGGTTGAGACAACACAATGGAGAGCTCGTTGGTGGATCCAAGTCGGGGCGCGTGGGGCGGCCGTGGAGGCTGATTTGCACGGTTCGCAGCTTCGACACTCGCAGCGAAGGCAAGGACATAGAAAAAAAAAGAAAACTTCTTTTGATCGACTCAAGCTGATAGGAATCGTTCGTATCTCTGTTTTCCAGCTTCGCAATTCGAGTACTTGTGGAAATCGCTGACGAGAACAGTCACTGGCTTCAAATCCGAGCCACCAACAAGCAGTGATAGCAGCGACGATCAAGGCCCCGATCGAAGCGGCGACGCGAGGAGCATCGCAGCGTTCCACCACGTTGTGCGTCGCCGCCAGGCAGCGCTCGAGCAAGTTCTCGATCGAAGCGACGAGTGGAAGAGCTCCTTGACTGTAGAGTGGCACGAAGAAGAGACAGAGACAAAGTAAAGATCGGTCGCGAGTTCGATTCTCGACCCTTACTTTACCATTTCTTCCCCCTTAGAACCCTAATTCTTTCCCTCTCCGCGAGGAGCGAATGCCAACGGACTACATCAGCAATCGCTACATGTCCAAGCTCGGCGTTCCACCGCAGGCCTGGGAGGAATCCCTCGATTTCGATGAGGTCGCCAAGTATTTTTCCATGACCGTCGCGGAGGCCGCCAATATCCTTGGTACGTGAAGATTTTCGTAGCTGGAGCAGCTTAGAACGATCGATCCGCTTGTGACAGGTGTTTGCCAGGCGACTCTGAAGCGAATTTGCCGAGAGAACGGGCTCTCCAGATGGCCGCATCGAAAGGTACGTAGAAATTTTTCCTTTCTCTCTTTTAGATAAATTTTTTCTATGCTGATCAACGGATGTTCTATAGTTTATGGGTGGAAAAAGCGTGGAAGAGATCAAACAAGATGCTTTGAGAGCCAAGCAATTCCAGGCTCAAGAACAAATGTATAACCCACAACCCAGCAACTAGTAAGTTCTTTTTCTCTTCTTTTATTGAAGAAAAAAAAACGTAAACTTCTTTTTTTTTTGCAGTGGTCAAGTTCCTTCTCAGGCTTACGTGATGCAAACTACACACGCGAATTTACGACTGAGCACAACTGCGACGTATAGAACGAAGATGCCAATTCCATCCTTTCTGGACGACTTTCGGAACGGTTATCCTCTCAAGAACTTGGATGCTGTCTGTGATCGCTGGTGGGGAGGTTCTCCAGATGTGAATGATACCAGCAGCGATCAAGCTCAAGCTCGCAGCGCAGATTTTGCCGAGTCCGTGGTGGACGCGACGCAGCTGGTAAGTCTTCGCAGAAAACGAGCGGAATCACTGGAGACAGCGCTTGCGTCACCAATCTCCAGGGGCTACGATGGATCCAAAGTCGAGAGCAGCCAAGAGGAAGTTCTCAAGTTTGTGTTTGGAGAGGAGATGCCACAGCAGTGGACTTACGCATTCGATTGAAACTACTCGAGGTAACTTTGCTTTGTTTCGTGGGATCAGAGGCAAAAGAGAAATTTTTCACAGGAACATTGCTATTTGCTGGAAGATCAGATCGAGGATCATTCATCATTTTAATCGGAGAATCAAAGTACCCACCATGGTTCTGTGCCAAAGATACAAAGCACATTCTTTTTTCCGTGGTACCGTACCACTCTCTTTGTATGAGTAGACGATTTCATGCTTTTACCTGTCTTTTTAATTGTGTTTTCCAACCGTTGGATTTTATCCGAGATGGGGACCGGTTCGATTCCGGTGCCACAGTAAAAGTTTTGAGCTCTTGTGGGGCTTTGTTTATACGCGCGGCGAAGCGATGGAGAAGCGCGCCCTTGTGATGGATCCCTTGTCTCTCACACCGACACGACGCAGCTTGGGCGCTAGATAATCATCCCTTCCGTGCATTTCATCGATCATTCGCTGCTTCTACCTAGCTTAGCTTGGCTCGCGAGCGACACTGGATGAAATCTTGGAGCTCGGCGCCGTGAGGTAATCGCGCGCTCGCATCTCCTTCTCTGTCGAGATCATCCAGGATTTTGCTCTTCTGACACATTGGTCCCGCATTCCAGCGAGGCAACGCAAGCGCTACGGATTCTCGGCTCTCTCATTGCCTCCGGCCATCGATCTCCCCGTAATATCGCTCCTATGGTGGCTCCAGGCCATGGCAGCGCCTTCTTGGCGGCGGCCTTGGCTCTATTGGCGGCGGCGGCATCGTCCTCGGGTAAGACAATCTCTAGATTCCTCTCTTCCTTTCCATTCGATCGATTGATCGATCGATGGAATGCCATGCCACAGGCGCATTCGTCGGTGTGAACTACGGCTCCCAGGGCGACAATCTCCCCAGGCCCCAGCAGGCAGTGGATTTCATGCGAAACAATGGCATCACCCAGGTCCGGATCTTCGACGCCGACCCGGACATCCTCACAGCGCTGGCCGGCACAGGCATCCAGGTGATCATCGGGCTCACAAACGCGGAGATCCTCAGCGTGGGTCACTCGAGCGCCGAGGCGGCGTCCTGGGTGAACAAGAACGTGATGCAGTTCCTCCCCAACACCAACATCACCGGGATCGCAGTGGGCAGCGAGGTCCTCACCGACGGCACCGCCAGCCTCTACGCCTCCATCCTCGTCGCCACCATGAAGTACATCCACGCCGCGCTGGTGGCCGCCAACATCGACAGCCAGATCAAAGTCTCGACGCCACACTCCACCGCCCTCATCCAGGATCCATTCCCTCCCTCCCGGGCCTTCTTCGATCAGACGTATGCCAAGACGGTGGTGCTGCCACTGCTGGATTTCCTCTCCCAGACAGGTTCTTATTTCATGCTCAATATTTATCCTCTGGCTATATACCAGCAGAATCGACAGGTGATGTCCATCGACTATGCCTTGCTCCGCCCCAACGCTGGCATCCAGGACACCATCACCAAGCTCACTTACACCAACGTCTTCGACCAGATGCTCGACGCTGCGTTTAGCGCCATGGGGGCGCTAAACCACACAGATGTGGGCATCGTCGTGAGCGAGACCGGGTGGCCTTCCAGGGGTGATGTCACAGAGGTCGGGGTAGGAGTTGACAATGCGGAAACTTACAACAACAACCTCGTCCGGCACATCCTCAACAACACTGGGACTCCCAGGAGGCCCGGCATTGCGGTGAATGCTTACATCTACGAGATCTTCAACGAGGACCGGAGGCAGGGGGCCACTTCCGAGAAGAACTATGGGATCTACTATCCGGACCAGACACCGGTGTATAGTCTGGACGTTACCGGGAGGGACTCGGGTGGAGCCGGATCAAACACGTCAGTTAGAACATGGTGTGTCGCCAAGCAGGGCGTAAGCGACAACAGCCTCCAGGCGGCACTGGACTATGCGTGCGGCCAAGGCAGTGCGGATTGCTCCAGCATCCAGCCAGGCCAGGCGTGTTTCTTCCCGGATTCGGTCTTTTCTCATGCATCCTTCGCTTTCAACAGTTATTATCTTAAGAACAAAATGGCAGCTGGGACCTGTGATTTTGCCGGAGTTGCGACTGTCACCACAAACGATCCAAGTATGTCCAAATCTTCTTTTGCTTTCTTTTTTGCTCTTACAAACTTGGTTCTAATTTGTCGCTCTTTCAGGTAGTGGACAATGCTCATTTCCCTCAAGGTAATATTGCACGTCGTTGTTTAGCCGTGCTCATGACCGTTTGGTTCTTGCAGCTTACCACCCACGGTAAATGCTACCGTTGGAAACCTGACGAGTAGTACCAGTAGCTCGGAGCCGCTACTGGCGAGCTTGGCTCTATGTTCAGTCGCGACGATCTTCCCGCTTTTGATCAACTCCAGACTGCTCTTCTGAGGATCCAGCAGGTACTACCCCGGCTTTTTCTTTGTTTTTAACTCTTCATTCTCTTTTCTCATCCAGTTGCGCGTCTCAATCATGTGTGTCAAGGCAAGCAAAGCGCTGGCAGAGCGAAAAGGAAAAGCTATTCACGAGCACTTTCCACGTTTTGGGATGTTGTGGAACGGAACGAAGTTGTAGACAATGGTTGGACTGGATTGGACTTCTCGGTCGGCTCTTTGGGACGTGCGAATAAAAAAGAACTTCACAAGAGGGAGAGCTTCTCAAGAGAGATGCAGAGGTAAGCTAGCAGCAAAAGGTGAGATCTAGGCAGAAGATTTACTTACTGGACATCAAATTGACTCACCCGTATCTATCTATCATATAATTTCGTGCCAAGTGGCTGGGATTCCTGTCTGAGTGTATCAGTAGCTAAAGTTACCAGAAGAGCGGCACTGACAAACACCAGCTATAGAGGTATGTTTCACTTTTTCTAGTATTTCGGCTTGACCCGAAATTCAAAGACATCAAAGTAGCAAGGAGCGCATGAAGACAGGCACCAGCAAGGAATTGGAGCTCAAGAAAGTCGCTCTGTGCTGATCAGATCGACTAGAGACTGCGTCCACTGAGCGCGCAAGCAAACGCGCTCCCAGCAAGCAACCGTGACGTCCGATGCGCCATCACGACTAGACACGAAATCTCGAAACTCCTCGGCTATTTCTCTGCTGCACATCTGCCGAAAAGAACAGGAAAAAAAAAAGGAAGAAAGAACGAAGTTTAGCTCAAGTCTAGCTTCAAACATTCGTAACACGATTCTTACATGAGCAGTGACCGAATAGAGAATCCGCTTCATGACGTAATTACTGCACGCTTTCTCGTGAACCTTGTTCCAATTATCCTGGAAAGAAAAAAAAGTAAATTTGTTTCTTTTTAATCTCAAATGTAACAACACTTTCTACCTTGAGCCACGACCAAGCTGTGAGACAACCTTGCTCGTTCACTCCCTCGAAAACAAGATTTATGTGCTGGGCTAGAACCTGCTTACATATCAATGAATCATAATCTCCAAAGAAGTAATACCAAGTAACCAACCTTCGGTGACAAAGTAAACTCAAGGGCCTCGCGTACCATAGCTGGATCATTAGATCCGGCAAGTAAACCTGACCATGTTTTATCTATCAATCACGAGCACGAAGTTAAAAGGCTGGCTTACTTAAGATCTCCACGCGCTCCGCGATGGATGCGGAGCCTTCGAACTGCGATATCAGCGCATCAAAGCTTCCTCGGTTTGTAGACGACACGTCCTTGACTGCGTTCCGGAGAACTGCCTGGAAATGGAATAAGGTCAGTCGGGCGGCTTTGCTCGATTGCGCGCGCTAAATGGAGAAAAGAAAACCGTAGTCAGATCAGAAGGGATTGCGGTCTCGAAGCGAGTGTCAAACCGCCTCTCGGCTTCCGAGCAAGTTTCGTCATGGTCCAGCCTCACAAGCGCATCCAAAATGCGTCCTCTCACCGCTGCAAACAAGTGTCCCTCGCATTCTGTAGCCTCCCAGCCAATGCGCCTGATCAAATCGGGCTCGACTTATACGAGAATTGAAATAGAACCAAAGGAAAAAAAAAAAAGCAAACCTTGCTGGAGTTTCTAGCAATGACGCTAGCCGCTGCTTGACGTCTCCAAAAGCTTCCGGTTTCGCGGAGAGGATGGCACTCGTTACGTCAACCACAATCTGGACGAAAGCATAATATATAACTCTGAGAGATCATTTCTACGGGTTTTCCCATCAACCATACCTCCACCAACGTCGATATGACTAGAGGATGGCCTTCATTCCTGTACGATTCGAGCAGACTAAATAGCTCACTGGGATCCTCCTTACCAGCGCGGCAAAGAGCGTGCATGTCTTTCAGGAGTCCTGCAAAACGATTTTGGTTGGAAAAATCAGAAAAGGAAATCGATCATCACCTAGTCGATCGACAGGCTCCAAGCTGCCAGAGGAGACCGCTTCTCGCAAAAGCCGCAGCATATCCTTGTCATACTGTACTCGAAAGAATCCCGTCTCTCCAGCGTTCACCTTGATCCAGCCAGAGGACCCTTCGTGCTTCACGGTCGAGCGCTCCTCAACCAGCAAATGACTCGTGCACGAGCGTGACTCCCCCACACCTGAGCAAATCAAAACCGGAACGATCCACTTGCCTGGAACATCTCGGCCATTTGCCATGAAACGAGCCTGTTAGAACAAACACACACATCAAAAGAAAAACAAAACGCTGTTGCTGATCGAACCTGCTCAAGCTGAACGTCGGTGGTGTTTTCCAAGAGACTCGCTTTCACAACGGGGAAGCCTTCTTCCTTTGTCCAGCAATGCATAAGCTGCTTTATGGGCTTGCCAGTCACCTCTTCGAATGCGCTCCATAGATCACTGGAGGTGGCATTGCCAAAAGCAAACTTTTTCACATAAGCTCTCAGTCCTTCCTGCACAACTACGTTACATTTTGCAAACAAACGCGTTTTTCAACCTTGAGTTCTTCGTGGCCAAGGTAGGACTGAAGCATGTGTAACAGCGATGCACCTTTGAAGTAACTTATGCTGTCCATCGGGGTGTCAACGTTAATGTTCCTCACCTCTACCTGAACGAGAAAGGGATTCCGGTTTCCAGAGTTCGTGTGTTTATATGCGAAGTACCTCGACGGGATGTGTGCTTTCTAGACTATCAAACCGGAAGGCGTCAGACCTGGCCCAATCCTGAAAATCCATCCACATTTCCCATTCCGGAAACAAGTAGTCCACTGCGTAGCAGCTCATCTGAAGAGGTGACCGCACTGTTTAGTAGGAAGAAGAAGCAAAAAACGATAGTCACCCAGGTAGCCATTCCCTCGTTGAGCCAAAGATGAGTCCACCATTCTAGTGTGACAATGTTGCCAAACCACATATGAGCAATCTCGTGAGCAGTGTCGCAAGCAACCTGAAGCAATTCATTTGTTTCTAGAGGGAAAAAAAAAGAGAGTGTTTACCCTTTGTCTCAGCCAAGCTGGTGAGTTCTCGTCGGCGTACAAGGCCTCCTCCCTGTACACAACGCAGCCAAAGTTCTCCAAGGCACCAGTCTTAAACTCTGGGACTGCAACAGCGTCGAGCTTTGGAAGCGGGTAAGGCAGCTGGAAAAACCTGCAAGAACAAGAGAATCGATCAAACTACAAGATGGTTTCTTACGATTTCTTACTCGGCAAAAAAAGGTAGCAGCTTGAGAATTATGTCGAGCACAAATCTTCCTTTCTCCTGGTAGCCCCGCCTTGTATAAACTCGCACAGGCACGCCTGGAGATACGAACACGAATAGATTTTCACAAAGGAAGTGAGAATGTTTGCTCACCGTCGTCGCTTGTCCCCTCCAGGTAATCAAATTCCCCGACGACAATGGCAATGATGTAGGTGGACATACGCACGGTCTCCTCGAACTCCACCGTCTTCGTGCCGTCGCAATTGATCGTGTCGTGAACAACGGGCATATTAGAGAGCACCTGGCGATCGGATGGAGCGTGAACTTTAAACGTAAAGGTTGCCTGGAAGAATTATGATATGAGAGCGATCAATCACTGCGTTGTTACCTTAAAGTCTGGCTCATCCCAGCAAGGAAAACACCTTCTTGCATTGCCGGGCTCGAAGTCAGTGGCGGCCATGTATCTTTTGGTGCCATTAACTTCATAAGAACTGGCAAAAACTCCTCCATGAGAAAAAAAAAACTGAAAAGAAGAATGCGAACCCTTTGTAGAAGCCTTTCAGGCTTTTGTTTAGTGATCCGTGATAGTCGATCGTTAGCACCAGCGGGCTTCCCACCGCGAGAGCATCGTCCCCAGCAAACCCAACGAGTAGAAGCTCGTTTTCCTTGTCTTCTTCCACGGACTTGATCGGGAGCACCTGGTAGAAAAACGAAGCTTAAAGACACCCTACTCTTTTCGCATACCGTGCTATCGAGCAAGCTCGCCGAGACGCTGTCAATGGTAAGATCTGCGGTGTTGAGTTGTACCACGCTGGTAACCGCAGTGACATCGAGGGAGACCCTCACCCTGCCTTGGAACTCACAAGACTCAAGATTCACCCAAAGCTCGACATTGTAAGTTTGAGGTACCACAATCCTTGGCAACCTCATCACACCCACACACCCTCACACACACACACACACACAGAACTTTAGAACTTTCCAAACTAAATCGGGCGCTGCAATTTTATCGTGGGACAAACCAAACCAAGAGTGTTGTACCCAGGAGGAGCGCTTGTACGTTGCTCCCGCAAAGAGAAAAGAGCGCTTGTACATTGTGCTATAGAACAATTATATAAAAGAACTAGTTATTGAGTACCTCAACACAGATCCAATATGGTACCTCCTTTCTGGTAGCTGCTCTTCTTCTCTCCGTATCGGTTGCTAAAGAGGAAGCTCTCCTTCTTGTCGCATCTGTTCCGCCTTCTGCAAGCGAGGATGCTCTGCTGCTGGCCGCATCTGTTCCGCCTCATGCTCTCCTCCTCGCGGCATCTGTTCCACCAATCGATGATGCTCTCCTCGCCGCAACTGCTCCGCCTCCTGCTGCAAGCGAGGATGCCCTCCTTGATCCCGCCGCGTCTGTTCTTGCTGGTCCGCCTCCTTCTGCAAGCAAGGATGCGCTCCTTCATGCTGCATCTGTTCCTGCTGACCCCTCTCCTCAGGATCCCTTCTGGTTGTCGTGTGACAACAATACTTTGGAGGGATCCATACTGTCCTGTGCAATTCCTACAGGCCCCGAGCAGCCAGTTGTGGCGCCACAGTACGTGTGGGGAAGTCTCTAGCCTCTACAGCTGCACATACGGCGACACAGAGTCCAAGCTAGTGGACTTTACCCTCCGTGACACGCTCCACACCGGGATCACATTAGTGATCCCTCCCCCCAATGTTCCCAGAGAATCATACAGAATGATCCACGGAAGTTCCTACAGGACGGGGTGGAAATGAACACCACCGCTCTCTTGGATGTTTCCAAAACATGGAGCGATCAAGTCAACCACATCAACCATTTCTGTGCAACTGGGAGTGTACAATGCGTGTTCACTCAAAAGGAAACCATGGATCATGCCTGGCGAGAACTCCACGACAAAACCTCCTACACCCTCTATGCATCTCCCACCACACAAGAAGTTCTAGAGCTCAACAATCTAGAAATCATCCTCTGGAACAAGCGAGCAGTGGTCTGCCATGACGTTTATTTCGCCTTCCAAATGCTCGCGTGCCACACCTTACACAACTTCACTGTAATTCATCCAGTGGCACAACCAGGTATGTGGTGTGTCATGGAGATACCTCATGGCACTTCACTTTACACTTACACTAAAGTCAAGTCTTTCAAGGGCAACCTTCAGAGACATGGACATGGTTGCTAAGTGTCCTTGTATCTTTGACATCTCTTTGTCACCGAGCTTGCAGTTCGCTAAACTAAGGCTCTTGACGGACTGAAAGAGTTGAGGCTACATTAATAGGCATTTGGCCTCCCGAACACGTTGCATTCAAACTCTTGAAGGTCCCTTATCTCACTCCCAATATCTGCCACAATGAGAACGAGAAGATGGTTCTATTCGCCTAGAAAGCTTCATCCAAGCCTTGCACTCACGCTAGAATAAAGATCACATCTAACCAAAGCATTTCAATAAAAATTCCCGTTATTTTTTCTCAATCTTAGCCTCTTGATTGTATCTCTTCACCATTTTCTATACTAATCCTAAAATCATAGAGAAATCGCAAATGGTGGTGGCCGATTCTCTCGAATCGGATGCTCTGGGCCACTTTCGTCTTGGCGCTGGATTCCTTGGGGATTTCCACGACAAAGCGGCAGATCTAGCAGCCGATCGAGCAAGCATACTCGCTCCAAGCAGTCATCTAATCGTCCGATAGCAAGCAAATCATCTAGTTGTATTTCACGTGAGCGATAGATCACCCGCGGGAACAGACCTGGTCACAAGCTTCACCCACGCTTGGTGCGTCTCTTGGATCACCTTGAGCGCGTAATCCTTCCCGGCGGCCTTGTTCCCCAGCCCGAATCGGTTCTGCGGCTTCCCATCCGGGACCTTGTAATCCCGGAACCAGTCCCGGATCTCCGTGAGCGTCCCCGGGAAGTAGTACTCCACGTCGCTCTCGTCATTCACAAGCGCCGCCTTGGGATCGTCCACCGAGATGGCGATCACCTTCCAGTCCAGCTCCCCCTCGTCGATCATGGCGAGAACAGCCACTGGCTTGACGCGCAGGATCTCGCCCAGCCCCGCCCTGCGCTCGCCAATCTCCACCACGTCCACGGGGTCGTTGTCTCCCAGCGCGCCCTCCACTTCCGGGTTGGCGTGGTTTGGATCCTCCCAGGTTTGCGGGAGGAGGCCATAGTTCCAGCGGATGTTGTAGGGATAGAACCGGAGCTTGCCCTTCTTGATGTCCTGCTTGATCGGCGTGAAGGGCTCGTCAGTGGCCACTTCCATCTTGGCGCTGGACTCCTTGGGGATTTCCACCACGAAGTGGAAGATCTCGCCGCCGCCAAGCGGGGATTTCAGCGGGACGTCGTGCCATGGCGACAAGGTCTTGCCGTTTGCCCCAACCAAGAATGCCCTGTAGCCCATGCTCTGGGCCTCGCCCTGCTCGCGCACCTGGTAATCCGAGCTCTGCTGCTGCTCCTGCTGCTGGCCCTTGCCTTGATCGACATCCTTGACGGACTGCTCCAGCGCCCTGGAAATCGCCGATCCACGGCGAGGCAGGAGCTGCTTGGACGAGAGAGCGTGCTGCGACGGCTTGAGGAAGCCGACCCTTGCCGCACCGATCGCGATGCCCGCATTGTACCTGGAAGAGACGAATGGGAGCTGGAGTGACGCCCCGGCGCCGGTCACACGGAGAGCCGCCATAGCCAAATTGGATTGGAGCCCTAGAATTCCAAAAGCATATTCGACCATCTAACGGTCTTGATAATTGTTGACTTAAAAACTAATTAATTCTTTCTGCCGACCGTGGGGCTCGAACCCACGACCACAAGGTTAAGAGCCTTGCGCTCTACCAACTGAGCTAGGCCGGCTTATGCCTTTAACCAGTATCATTTATTTTTACGCGAATATTAATTTAAACAAAAGACACGTTAGAACTTTCTCGTATTGTCTTGTCACCAAAATCGCTCGACATATTGCTAGAAAGATCAACTAGAGATCTGGCAGGCTTTAGCTCTCTCGATCGACTTCTCCTCTTCCTCCTCCTCCTAGGCTAGCATCGCGTGATTAAATACATGTTGTCAACGTGATCCGGAGCACAAAGCTGGCCGGCTGGCTCGCTCGCTCGCTCTAGGACGCAATCGTGGTGGCCGTGGTAGCCGTGGTCGTCGTAGGAGTACTAGCACTAGCCGTTTGGAACGGGGCCTGTTGTTCCGGCGGTAGCATCACGCAAGCCGGTCCGAGCTCCGGCTTGCTCGGGTACTTCCTTTCATGCTCGTGACTGCCCCCAGACTGCTGCTCCTGCTGCTCCTGCTGCTCAGCACTGATTCCTAGTTTTTGCATCTTCATCCTGTCTCGGTAATCGCTTATTTCCCGTTTGTATCGCTCCTTGTCCTTGACCCCGCGCTCTTGATAAGGCTGCATGCCAAGCGATAGCGTTAGCACCGCGAGAAACAAGAAAAAAGTAAAACTCGAAACGGATGTAGCTCTTACAGATTTTTGCTCCTCGGTCATGCTACTCCACGTCTCCCCGATCATCTTGCTGATTTCTCTGTCCTTGTCTGGGTATACGAGCTTGAGCTTGGCTCGCTGCTCGGCAAAGAAGTAGTTGTAGCCGCTCCTGTTGAGCTTGGGTGCGTTGGGGTCTTTTCTGCGCATGCCGATTCGCTTTCGTCGCCTTCTCAGCCGCACGCCAACATTTGCAGCTTCTGGAGTACTTCTACTCGTCGCGACTGTCGATGCATACTGTGGCACGGAAGAACCAACAGGGACGTGATATAGAACACCCCTGAACCTGTCGGATCCGATGACAACGGTGACTAAGTACCCGTGCTCAAACTTTTCTTCAATGGATCCGGTCACAATCTCCCCGATGTGCGCTTCAAGATCTACTGCCAATGCAAGAAAGCCTTTTGAGACTCAACTCCAACGAGTTTCTTCTTACCGTCAATTGCAGGCTGGAGTCGTCGCTTTTGCATCTTCGGCCCAAGCTCCAGCTCGTCCGAACGCACTCCATTCTCTGGTAAAAGAAATCCCGGGCTTGGCGCCGGAAGAGGAGCTGCAACTTCATGGTTTTACAATTCCTGCCTCTTTACAAACTCCAATAAACTTACCAGGAGGAGACACAAGGCTTCCCTCAGCTCTGAAGAAATACACTTGCTCGTAATGATGGAGTAAGCTCGTGTAGTACTTCCGCAACACGAACGACGCACTTGTAGTCGTTCTGGGGAAATTGAACACCGCTTTGATGTCCTTCCACAGCCGGTCTTTGATAACCTGACAGCCGAGAACGCTATGAAATTAGCTCTCAAGCAACTTTAGCATGCCTTATAAAAGAACCTGTTCGAGACCTCCTCGAGCAGTAACTTCTTGATAAAGACGATACAAATCCAGCTGATTCCCTCCCATTCTTGGGCTCCTGGGAATCAACAACAGAGAAAGCCCACATTAATCCGGCACGAAGTGATAAAAAAAACTCTAAAGCTGTCACAATCCCTCAGAATCAAAAGAGATACAAAGCCCAGAAATCTAGCCATAGGAAAGCATATAATAATGGAACAAACAAACACAAGGAAGAAGAAGGAAGACGAAACACAAGCGCAAAAGAGAAGAAAAGAAAAAAAGAGAGAGGGCACTCACGACATTCTACTGCCCATGGCTTCATGGAACTTGCAAAGCGTGTCCATGAAGAGCACCGGATCACGAGTCACTTCCTCATGCGTCGCAAGGGGCGGGGGATAGACCTGACCTCGCACGCAAATGGGCGTGGCCAGAGCTGGAGACGAGGACGAGGCGGTCGGCGATGCCAGACGAAACGCGAGAGGCCGGGCTTGCTCGGCCTCGGCGATCGCGCACCGTTGTAGCAATGTAGGCCCTGCCAATCTTAGAGCCAGTCTTTGCGCGCCCACCTCATTCTCGCCTCCACCGCGGCAATCCTGCTCCTGCTGCCGCGGCTGCTCCAGCGCATTCTTTGCCATCTCCTCCTCGGGCGCCGCCGGCACCCTGGCGCTGGCGGCCGCGAGTCTTGGATCGGAATCCTGCCCTGCCAAATCTTGGATAATTCTTCCCAGCTCCAAAGAATGGCGCTGCTGCTGCTGCTGATCTGCCGCGCGCTGCGCGAAATACTTCCCCATGGCCGCCATCCGGGCGGCATCATCGTCTTCTTGAGCTTGGGCGCCCTTTGCCGCCATCGCCATAGGTAAAGCTTCAAGCTTGTACCGATTGAAAATAATATTTACCAGCCGCATAAAACGGACCACGCCATGCGGTTAAAAGAGAAATCCATGGTTAGAATTACGGCTGCCACGCGCCACCATCCCCGCCCTCGCCCGCGCCCATCCAACGGCCAGCTTTACCCTTTACTCTTTTCCGTTATCTCCACAAAAACCCCATTTTCTTTAAATGGCGCGGTACGGCACGCCCATACTGGAGAAATGGACCCAAGATCCTCCGTACGCTTATTCAACGACCGCATTTTTAAATGTTGAGAAAAAATATAGAAGCGGCGGCGCACTCCAGGCCAGGAGGACTAGTCACTCGGAACTGCGACTACCAGTTGCCTTGCGCCACGTGTCAACAGAGCGTTTGACCAAACTCTGGCATCCACGCGTGACGCGGCCATTGGGCCTGGCCCGGAGAACCTCGTGTAGGACGACCTGTTACATAGGCTTGATTCAGGGGAATCTTCCCTGATAGACTATATACCACTGCTTGTGAGATCTAAAAAAAAGATACTTATACCGTGGCTTGTGAGATGTAGAAAAAAATTTCTTGCTTACGTTGTCGAGTGTTTAGAAGCTCGTTCCTATGGAGTTGTAAGTGAAGGGAGAACCATAAGGAGCGCAAAGCCCAAGCTCTCTCATGATCTTCTTCCGGCGAAGATTGCGTTTGGGCTTTTGGTGGAGCCTTTCCTCCTCCTGTCATTAAAGTTTTTCAAGCGAGCTGAGAAAAGCGATGGTAGTCTATTTTCCAATTTATGATCGTGTACCTCGTACAGGACTTTGGGTTTTCTCCTTCGTGTTGCAGTGTTGCGAGCTTCGCTTCCTGTCTCCTCCGAGGATTCCTTGCCTGCGAAGAGATCAAGAATCAACCATGCAAAAAGTACTTGAAACTCAAGTCACTCACCGTTTGCATGGGGAGTTTGGCATTCCTCCTGGAACGAGTGTCTCCACTTCAACGGGAGTTTCCGAAAGTCTCTGTACTCTAAAGCCTACAACGGCGGAAGTTGTGCATTAAATGTGCTCCCTCATATAGAAATGTTTTTTGCCCTCACCTCTTTCAATCCCTTTTGGAAGGCCTTGGTTGGAACCTGGCTCCTCCCGTCAAAATCCTGCATGGTACTGATGCTGTTTAGAACGTTTTAGAGAAGTTTAAAAAATTCGTACACTCACACACTTACCACGTCGAACTTGGATAAGTCGCTGGCAGGATCAACCCATCCACTGCAATCGTTCAAATCACGCACGAATCAATACGATGTAACTTAAGGGATCAGGATGGATAACGAACTAGTTATAGTTGCCGAAGAAGCGCACCAACACATGATTCTTCGATTGACGCGTTCTCTCGCTCATCGACTTCTCATCCGCAACCTTTTGAAGCAGTGTAAAACCAAAGAATGACAGAAAAATCGTGCATTTCTACCTGAGCGGGCCACCAAGGAGAGCGGGAAAACTTCGCCCAAACAAGCTGGCCAGCTGACCAGGAAGCACAAGAGAATGATGAGTCCCCATCGTCGCTCGCAATTGTGGAGTCTGTCGGTGATCTTTGGCAAGGCATCTCCGTGAAATCCCTTCAAATCATATAACAATGTGAAAGAACGAAAAATCGAAAGTTTTCTTTGTTCTTTGAAAGAATCAGCTTGAGTGATTTTTTGTTTTCGAGAATAAAAAACACCATACCTTCTCGACTGTGACTCCGAAGACTGAAGAACAGTGCTGCAAATCGCTGGCTCGTCTATAGTTCTAAAGCTACACCGCATTGTGTCATGGACATCTGCAAGAAAACATAGAAGGAAAACATCAAAAACAACGAGTCCAAGGTGATTGAAAAAGAAATTTTGGCATACCTGAGCATAGATCCCCGGACAGCGTGGAAGAGCCATCTGCGACAAACGAAGGAAAACACCTCCGACGCGCACGAGGAATCTCTTGCCGTCTCTTCTGCCGATGAACAGGCCCAAAGAGTGACGGTTCTTGGAATTGATCCTCCTGCTGCCCTAGCTCTCCCTCCTGATCTTCGTCAATCATCTGTTCTTCCTCTTGCTGCTGCTGCTCCTGCTGCTGCGTCGGCATTCCCACTCCCATCGCGAATGCAGGAGGAGAAATCTCCATCGCCAGCGCCATAGCTGCCAGCGAAACCCTCTCCTCTCTCGATTAGGGCTTGTCTCTCTTCCAAACAACTAACATTCCCTTCTTTTCCATCGTGCCAGCCCTAGCTATGGAGAGATTCAGCTGACCTCCTCGAAATTTAGGGTTCTTGGGAAGGGATGAGCGGCATTCCCTTCGTCATCGCCGCCGATGACGCCGAGCAGCAGCGATCCTCCTCAGGTATGAGCATCCAGGCCTTCCTCGGCAGCCTCGTGGAACCGACGCGCGATCTGGCGCGCCCGCCGATCTCCAATTTCCGGGTCGGAGCAGTGGGGCTGGGATCCAGCGGGCGGGTCTTCCGGGGCGTCAATCTGGAGTTCCCGGGCCTGCCACTTCACCATTCCGTCCACGCCGAGCAGTTCTTAGTTGCGAATCTGGCGCAGCACGGCGAGATTTCGATCGAGTTCTTGGCGGTCTCGGCCGCGCCTTGCGGCCACTGCCGCCAGTTCCTCCAGGAGCTCCGCGGCGCCAAGGATCTCGAGCTCTTCATCGTCGACGGTGAGAATTCCGAGACACAGCTCCTATCCAGATTTCTTCCTCACCGGTTCGGCCCAGACGATCTTCTCGCGCAGGATCTCGACTTTCCCCTGCTGCTAGAGTCCAGGAACAATGGCTTGGTCTTCGAGGGACTAGATCACAAGTGCTACCGTGGTCGCGAGGAAGACGGTCTCGATCTCTCCGGACTGGAAGATGAGAGCCTTAGAGACACCGCGCTGGAGGCTGCGAACAAATCTTACGCTCCATACACCGGCTGTCCCTCCGGAGTAGCGATCTTCACCAGGAGCGCCAGAGTTTTTGCCGGATCTTACTGCGAGTCTGCCGCTTTCAACCCGAGCTTGCCCCCTCTCCAGGCCGCCATTGTGGCTTTCGTCGCGAATGGTGGTGGTGGCTACCAAGACATTGTCTGTGCGGTTTTAGTGGAGAAGAAAAACTCTTCCGTCCAGCAAGCTCCAACGACGAGGATGGCGCTGGATCAAATCAGCCCCCGGTGCCCGCTCCACGTCTACTACGCTGGATCTCCATTCAAGGATTGATGGAGCGCTTACTATCACATTCATCACAGGGAGACAATGACAACCCTTCAAACAATAATTCTTCCAAGAAGAACTCTCAGATTCTCTCCAGATTGGATCCATTGCAATCGAAAGTGTCATAGATCTCGGCTTGGTGATCACGACAAATGAGATCCTCTAGATCGCAATGCCGCCACGGAGGAGCGACAGCTATGGTTTTTACGCGCAGCTCATCCATCTCTGCCGCAGCGGGAAAGATTTGCCCCGATGCAAGCGCGTCCACGAGCTCGTCCTCGAGAGCCAGTTCTCGCGCGACACATTTCTTCTCAATCTGCTGGTGGAGATGTATGGGCGATGCGGCCGCCTGGATCTCGCCAGGGCCGTATTTGCCACCATCCCCAACCCGAATTGCTTCTCCTTCAACATCATCATCAGTGCTTGCATCCAAGGGAATGCCATCGACGAGGCTAGGCTCGTTTTTGACAAGATTTCTCAGCGCAATGTTGTGACATGGACCACCATTCTTTCAGCAAATGCCCAAAGCGGGAATTTGCTGGAAGCGGCAATGATTTTTGACAGAATGCCCCAGCACAATGTGATCACTTGGAACTCCTTTCTTGGTGGTTGCGCGCGGAACCAAGAGCTTTCCTCAGCCCAAAAATTGTTCGATCTAATGCCCGAAAGGAGCGTAATATCTTGGATCAATCTACTCACAGCACTTTTCCGCAAAGGACATTTGCAGGAAGCCATTCGTACGTTCCTCCAAATGCCAGAATGGAATATGGTATCCTCTACGCTCGTGATAAACTGCTGCGCGGAGCTCCAGCACATCTCACGAGCCCGCAAGATCTTCGACCGGATGCCCGAGGCAGACGTCGTGACATGGACAACGATGATCGCAGCGTATGGCGAAATTGGAAATCTAGAGGAAGCCAAGAGACTCTTTGATTCGATGCCCAAGCCGGACACAGTGACCTGGACGACCATGGTCACGGCATATTCGCACCATGGTTTCATGGCCGAGGCGAGAGCCCTCTTTGACGTGATGCCATACCCCAATGTGGCATCTTGGAATGCGATGATCCACGGCTACTCCCACGCCGCCATGGCTGACGATGCGCTAGATCTCTTCCAGGAGATGCCCAAGAGAGATATACTCTCCTGGAATGAGATGCTCGGAGCGTACGTCCACAGCGGGGATATTCCCTGTGCGGAGCTTCACTTTGAAAAGATGCCCGGCCACGGCGTGGCGGCGTGGACGGACCTGATCGTCGCGTACGTCCACGATGGACGGTTGGCCGATGCCGGGCGGGCGCTCGAGAGAATGCCCTCCAGGGATTGTTCCACTTGGCGGGCGCTGTTAGAGGCATATGCCCGCGGCGGGTATATTGGCTTGGCCGAAGCGAGCTTTCAGCGAATGCCGGAGCGCAACGTGGTTTGCTGGGGAGCGTTGATCTACGGGTATGCCGTGAGCGGCGATCGCGCGAGGGCCACTAGGGCATTTGGGGCGCTTAGCCTGGAAGGGTTTTGGCCGACGATCACGACGCTGGGGAGTGTGATGAGCGCCTTCTCTAGCGCTGGAATGGCCAAGGAATGCCGCGACTACTTTGGAGCTATGGTACTGGATTTTGGGCTAATGCCCAGAGTGGAGCATTACTGGCTGGTGATAGACGCGCTTGTAAGGGCCGGTGATCGCGCCAAGGCCGAGGATTTGGCGCTAAGCATGCCCTTCCAATTGGACAATGTGGCTCGAGCGATCTTGCTAAGGTCCTCTAAGGATGAAAAGTCTTCCCCCAGATTGATAGATTCGGCAAGGGTTTAAAAGGAATGGTTTTGCCCTAAGATTCGTGCAAATATGCTCGCATTATTTTAAAAGGCCTTGGGTTTGATGTCGGGCGCCTTGGCTGTGGAGATGCCCGACTTCTCCCCGGCGGGGGCGCTCCCCGTGAGGCGGCCGCTCGGCAAGCGCAGAAATGGCGATGGCGATGGCGAGGTCGACCCGCTGCTGCCTGTTCCCGAGTTGGCGCCGGCTCCGAAGCCGTGGAAGGGTGCGCCCATCGTCGCTGCCCTGATCTGCGTTGCCTTCTTGATGCTCCAGATGCTTCCTGCGACGCATTATCGCCATCCAGCCGATCCCACTCGCACTTGGATTCCTATACGGCAAGAACCAGACCAGGTAGGAGCGATTTCTTTCGTTGTTGCACACCATTGATCTTTCATGCTTTGGACTTGGTATCTCTCTCTCTCCCATATGCTCCACAGGGAGAAAGTGGGAAAGAAGTGGAAGAAGTGGATGCGAGGGAGTTCGTCACTGGCATCAAGAGCACTTCCATTGACTTGTTTGTTTGCACCGACGAGAAAGATTTGCGCCCTCTAGTCGTGGTCATCAACTCTACACTCGCCAACACCCGGTTCGTAGAAAACTCTTCTCTTCTTCTTTTTTCCACAGGGTGTTATTGGTTTTTCGTTATGGCAGTCACACGCAACGTATTCGATTCCATATCATCACCACTGAATCACAGCGAGAAGCGTGGTTGTCCAAACTCAAAGCTCTCTTTCCTCTTGCGGCCATCGATATGGTCAGGTGTGTTATTCTTTCTTGTTCTCTTGGTTTTCAGTTTCTTTCTCTAGTTTCCTTGACATCGTTCTATTTCATGGCAGCGAAAAGATCGATTTCGAGGAAATCGGAAACCATGTCTTTTACCGAAAGGACAGCAAGGCAAGAGAAGCTCTTACAAGTCCATACAACTTTCTTCCCTTTTACCTTCCTCGCATGTTTCCAGGCATGCAAAGGATCATCTATCTCGACTCGGACGTCGTGGTTCAGGCAAGACTCTTGATCTTTGCCGTGTTTTAAATCCTTCTCACTTTTCTCTGGATTTTACACAGGGAGACATCGAAGAACTCTTCAACACTGATCTCGAAGATCACCCCGTGGCCGCCGTTGAAGATTGCTCCCAGATCTTCGGCAGCTATTTCAACTTTGATCTCCTTCACCGCATCCAGTCGCGAGAAGCGTCCGAGTCCACGCCTTGGATTCCGAGCCAGCCATTCGATCCGAGCGCCTGCATCTTCAACCGCGGCGTTCTGGTAATCGATCCTCGCAAGTGGATCGAGCAAAACAGCACCGAAGCCATCGAGTGGTGGCTGGACGAGTTCCACCAAGCACAAAAGCCTCTATACAAGTAAGCTAGCGTTCCTTCTTTTCAACTTGTCCCGACTGTTTGATCGCTGCGCAACAGATATGGCGTTTCGCAGCCTCCATTCTTGCTAGCTCTCTACAACCACTACAAGAAGCTAGACACGGCATGGAACACTCGCGGGCTGGGGCGAGCCGAGTTTAGCGAGGCGGAGCGAGACTACATGAAGAAGCTCTACTCAAAGAGGCCGCCAAGGAGGCCATTCGTGTCGCCCAACACGGAGCACTCCAAGATCCTCCACTTCAACGGCCGATTCAAGCCCTGGAATCGAGACTCGTCGGTGGAGCAGCCACCCTCGCTCTGCGGCTCCAGATCCGAGGACTGTGCGCGCCTCTGGTGGGCTTACATATCTCCAAACGTGAGCGACAGTTTGAAACAATGAAAAGTGAAGATTTAATCAACATCATATACTTTTTTGGCTATACTATGAAGGGGTGTGTCAAAAAATAGCTTGATCATGGACTATATGCAACTCTTTGAAAGTAAAAATACGAACTTCCAACTTTCATTGTCTGCTGTTTGTATTATCCACCACAAGCACAAGCATGGCAAAGTTGCAATGAGAGTTTCTTTGAGTTGAAAATCCCATTTTTGCTTTCGAAGATTTGCTTATAATGTGTGATCATGGCACACTTATAAGTGTTCCTAAGAAACTAAAGGAATCCAAAAGCTGGTCCTCTCCATGAAATCATCGTCAAGGTCTTGAAAAATTACCTTTTTTTTATGCACAGATAAATATTAAAGGTTATACAGCTTCTTAGGGTTTACTCGCTATGGATTACCAAGCGCTACTCGAGGTTTTGTGGTCCACTCTTCCTCGCCCCAAGTATGCCACAGGAGGCGAGGTTGATGCAACAAAATTCGCCATGCCTACCTTCTTGCAAGTGGAGGGCGCTGGTGATCTCCCCCTCCCTCTCTCCAATGATGGCTTCCTCAAGCTCAAGGCCATGTCGCAGCAAGCACCCTACGGCAAGGGCGAGGAAACCTTGCTCGACACCGACGTGCGCCGTGCATGGCAAGTGGAGGCGTCCAAGGTGAGTTGCCCGCAAATCCCAGACTTCTTCTCAAAGGTGGTGCTCGACATGGCCGTTCCCGCGATGGAGGAGCTGGGGATCGACGCTGGCGCGCTTGGCTTGGACGTGAGACTGTATAAGCTGCTGCTGTATGAGCAGGGTGGCCACTTCAAGTTCCACCGGGATACCGAGAAGGAGGATGGCATGTTTGCGACGATGATCTTGCAGCTTCCAACGCAGTCCGGGCATGAGGGTGGCCAACTGGAGATCCGTCAAGGGAAGAAGAACAGTGTCAGTCTTGATTTCTCCGGTGCTGCTTCGAGGTCGGGGTACTTCCAGATGGCTTTCTTCTGCGACTGCGAGCACAGGCTTGCCGAGGTGACGAGCGGGACGAGGCTGTGCCTGGTGTTTAGCGTGGTGAGGAGCAACACAAAGTTTATAGATGTGGATGCCCGCAAACTCCCACACTATGTATCAGCTCTTGGGAGCGTTCAGAGCCAGATGAAAGAATGGGCCGAGAAAACGAGACGCGTGACATTGCCAATTCTCGCGATTCCACTGGGCCACCAGTACTCCAACAACAGCTTGAGCTTCGCGGGGCTCAAGGGGCACGACCGGGTTGTGGGGGCACTCGTGCTGAGCTGCGCAAGCTTTTTGGACATCCACCTCTGCATGCTCGTGAAACACTCCACTGGATATGACACCGACTACGGCAGATGTGAGGACCATAGCTACAGTTTGGAAAACTGGACCACTCCAGACGATCAGAAGCCCGAGCTCGACACTGCAGATGACTTCCCTCTAGCTCAGGTTTTGAGGTACGAGAAAAGCGAAGACGATCCTTTTGGCGACTCGCCAGATGAGGAAGATTATGAGCCATACCAGGGGAATGAGGGCGGCAATACACACTCGTTCTATCACACCGCGGCTCTGGTGGTGTGGCCGAAGGAGAGCAGAATGGTGGCGCTGTGCAACACGCAAAGTATCAAAGCCGTGCGAAACTGGCTCGAGGAGCAGCACAAACGCGAGCCTGGGCGGACGAGAGGGGACTTAGAGAGATACTTGGCTGCTTTGACAAGAACAATCGGTTCCAGAACTGTAGCATGGATAAGATCGAAATGGTCTTTCGAAAGCCTGCTACAGTTCTGCCTCAAGCACGACTTTCGCGACGCAGCATTCTTGGTCATGAAGAACTTCATGGTCATAAAGAGCTGGAATTTCTTGCCAAGAGCAGCACAGGATGTGGTTGCCGCGGTACAGAAGTATGGATGGGATGAATTATACAGCCAGGTGATTGAGAGGTTCTTAGAGGACGGAACTCTTTCCTGGCGGTTTGGAGCTTCACGTCTTGTCGAGTGTCTGAGAGAGAGTGGCTTCCAGGACGAGGGTGTAAGTTTAGCAAAGAAGCTCTTGGCCAAGGGTGGCGTCTCGGACGTGAAACGTTTCTCGTCATTTTCTGTCGAGGATGAGCTCGAAGATGAGAAAAGTTTCCTGACCTTTTTTGTCGAGTGTGGGCTCGAGGATGAGACATGGAAGATTGTGAGCATGGCATCCGGAGATTCTAAGTTTTCAGCCAACGACTTGGTCCAGGTAGTGAAGAAGTGGGGAGCGAGCAGCGTCCCTCGCATCGACGAGTTTTGGGAGAAGAGGCTGAAAATAAAAGAGGCTTCATGGGAGGAAACCTCGTCGAGCAACAGTTGGCATATTAGATCACCTAAGGAGGAGCTCCGGCGAGAAGGATGGATAGATTTCTTGGGAGATTTTGCGATGTTTACGGTGGAGCTGGAGGCTCAAGGGTGTCACGATGCTGCGGTGACCTTTGCAAGCAAGAGATATGTCAAGGTTGCCAGCCTCGAGGAAGTCTATGGGAAGATCTTATATAGCATAGAGAACCAGGATGCGCTTGCGTTGCTCTTGGCTCTGGACAAGAAGACTGAGCAGACAGAAGACATGGTGGCGGCCATGAAAAAAGCAGCTAGGCTGATTGGCTTGAAGAAGGATGAGAAGGTGACGCAGCTCTTCTCGGATCTCTTGTCGCAAGCACTGGAGGCCAGTGCTGCCAACGAAGATAATCGCTACAAGGAGCTCTACGAAGCTGTGATTTGGCTAGGACCTGCGGAAACGGTGAAATCTGTAGCGAAACGGGTGAGAAGTGGTAGTTTAGTGCTCCTGGACGACGAAAACGAGGATAGCAGCCTGATCGAGAGAGCCAAGGAATGGGATGATGGTGAAAGAGATGGATTGAAGGAGGTGATCAAAGCTAGAATCCGCTACTTGTCGGCCGATGAAGATGAAAAAGATAGAAACGCAGCGGAGAAGCGGAGGAGAAGCCTCAATCCAAGGATTAAGCGTGTCAAGTATGATGAAAAGCTAGAGGTATCACCCACCGAAATCGAGAGGCTTCGCAAGTTATTGAGCGACTTGCCTTGAACGATCTGGTTCTTTCTGTTTCTTTCTTTGCTCAAGTAATTCTTCTATTCGTTTCCTTGCGTGTGTGTTCTCGATGAATGGGCGCAAGTCCTGAGCTCGACCGGGTGGTGACGCTTCTCAGGGCGTGCGACCGCCTTGACGCGGGGAGAGAGGCGCATGGTTTCATCCGCAGCAGCCCCAGGCTATCCGGCAACAAGTATGTCGCCAATCTTCTCATCCAGATGTATGGCGGCTGCGGCAGCGCTCGCGACGCAAAGGAGGTTTTTGATGGCATCCAGCACCCAAACAAGTTCTCGTGGAATCTCATGATCCATGCCTATGCCCGGAACGGGTATCTGCAGCAGGCGAGGAGTTTGCTGCAGCAGATGCCCGATCCCACAATAGTGGCGTGGAATTCTGTTCTCGCAATGTACACACACAACGGCCTTTTGGATCATGCGAGAGAGGTTTTCGACGAGATGCCGGAGAAGAACTCCGTGTCAAGAATCACAATGCTCTCTGCATATGCCCGTGCAGGGCATCTGGAAGAAGCAGAGGAATTGTTTGATCAGATTAACGAAAAGGACAGAGTGGCCAGGAATGCCATGATTGATGCATATGCACAGCACGGATTTTTACAAAATGCTAAAGAAATATTTGACAGTATGCCTGAGGGAGAGAGAGATGTTGTCACCTGGACGTCCATGTTTCTGGCTTATGCCCAAAGCGGGCATATTGAGCAAGCAAAGCGCCTGTTTGATTCCATGCCGTACAAGAACGTTGTCTCCTGGACGGGCATGGTGCGAGCATTTTCCGAGCATGGCCACTTGAATCAAGCAAGAAAAGTTTTTGATAATATCCCAGAAAAGAACCCAATCTCTTGGAACACAATAATCTCGGGCTATGTGGATGCCAAGCTTTTAGACGAGGCAAAGGAGCTCTTTGATGCAATGCCGGCGAAAATCAAAACTATTGTCACCTGGAATCTAATGCTCAAGTCCTACTCCCAGGCTGGGCTCACTCAAGAGACCGAGAGGATCTTTCGCAAGATGCCGTGGTGGGACGTTGTCTCGTGGTCGGCCATGGTGACGGTATATGCCGAGTCCAAGGATCTGGAAAATGCCCGAGAGAGATTCCATAGCATGCCCGAGCACAACCTCGTGACGGCGAATGTCTTGCTACAAGCATTCGCTCTACAAAGCAGCGTAGAAGCCACAAAAAGATTCTTTGACGGGCTACCGTACCATGACCTTGTGACGTGGACGGTGCTGATCCAGTCCTACGGGCACCATGGAGATGTGGCACTGGCCATGGCCACCTTTGATTCCATGCCCGTGGAACCCGATACGTTAGCTATCAATGCCGTGTTTCTTGCATATGCCGAGAATGGGCATCTTGAAGAAGCGAAGGCTTTGTTTGACAAGATGGCTTATCAAGACATTGTGATCTGGAACGCTATGATGGATCTGTACGCGCAACTTGGATTCTTGCTTGAGGCTAAGAAAATGTTTCTTGAATGCCCAGATCGAAGCGTGGTATCGTGGAACACTATCATCTCTGCGTATGCCCACAATGGGTATCTGTGGGAAGCACAGCGAGCTTTTGATTCGTCTCCACTCGTGAGCAACGTCTCGTGGGGTGCGATTCTGGCGGCGTATGCCCAACGAGGGCATGCCGACGAGGCGATTTTGGTGTTCCACAGCATGGTCGTGGAAGCATTTTTGCCGGATGATCTCGGGTTTGGGAGCGTTCTCACCGCTTGCAGTCGTGAGGGATTGCTGGAAAAAGGCTGGTCTTGCTTCCAGTCCATGAGCTCCGATTTTGGCATCGCTCCTTCGAGCCAGCACTACTGCTGCATGGTGGATGTTCTCGCGCGGAGCGGGGAGATTCATCGAGCCGAGGAGCTTGTCCGAGCTATGCCAGGCGATCCAGGTATTGTAGCCTGGGGGAGCTTGCTGGGCGCGAGTGATATTCAATGTGAGATGAATAGACGAGCGCTCACCGCTGCTCGGGAGCTGTCCGGCTTGGATCCAAGCATCGCGGCACCTTACATGATGCTTGCCAACATCTTCACCAAGAGCAAAAGATTTTGATTCAAACATGTATGACGATCATAGCGAGTTATACCTGTGAATCGTGTAAAGTGGTCACTTCCTTCTCACAGTTCGTCATCTCAGGGAAATCCATTTCTTTCCAGCGTGCCAGCAAGATCAAAACTTGGTCACCTCCGTGTGAGATTTCCTCCAGTGGATCGGGCAATGTTGGATAAGAGAATGTAGGGAGTGGAATCGCTCTCTGGAGCAGCGGCCCCCTCGAGCAAAAATTCACTCGCACTCCGAGCTCGCTCCGAGTCCGAGTGTGTTCTACACGCTCCCAGCAGCGTCTTCCATGACACGCAGTCGGGAACGTAAGGCATGGAGTTGACGAGCTCCTCGGCCTTGCCAAGCTGCCCGGCTCTCCCAAACATATCGACAACGCAGCGAAAGTGTTCGAGGGTAAACGCCACGCCGAAGTCCGCTACCATGCACCACGAGTAGTGCTTGCACAGGCTCAAGCTCCCGCTCTGGCTGCACGAAGCGAGGACGTGCGAGAACGTCTGCTCGTCCGGTGGCCAGCCTTCGTTGAGCATCTGGTGGAAGAAATGGAGCGCCTGGCGATAGCTCCCGCCGGAGGTCAAGCCCGCGATCATACAGTTCCAAGTCACCGTCGTGTGCTCGGGATTTCTCGCAAAGATCGCCCACGCTTCGTGGATGTTCCCGCAGTGAGCGTACGTCTGGATCATCATCGACCACGCCATGGAGTTCCTCCGGGGCATGAGCTCGAAGATCTCTCTCGCAGCCAGCGCGTCACCGGAGACAGTGAAGGCCAGTAAGATCGCGTTCCAGGACACCGGGTCGAGCTCGGGCGTGGAGTGGAAGGCTTCGAGCGCTGCTTGGAAGCTCCCGGACTTGGCAAACGCCGTCACCACCGTGTTCCACGACACGACGTCATGGAATGGCATTTTGGAGAGCACGGCCTTTGCCTCATCGAGACAGCCCTTGTCGGAATTGGCAGCGACAAGAGTGTTCCATGCCATCTTGTTGCGGGGACACATCTTGTCGAAGAGATCTTTGGCCTGGGACAAGTCCCCCAAGAGGGAGCACGCGGAAATGATCGTGTTCCACGCGCAAGAGCTCTTCTCCGGCATTGAATCGAAGAGCGCTCTAGACGTTTCCAAATGCCCGCTCGAGGCATACGCCAAAACCATGCTGTTCCACGCAATGTGGTTCCATCTCGGCATCCGTGCAAAAACCCGGTACGCGTTGCTTGAACTTCTACTGTTGCAAAAGGTGGCGACCATAACCGACCACGAAACAAGGTCGCGCTGAGGCATCACCAAGAAGAGGTTCTCTACGTGCTCGATATGCCCCGACTGGGAATGCGCCGCCATGAAAGTCGACCACGACACAACCGTGTGCATTGGAGTCTTCTCAAAAACCTTCCTCGCGTCGGAAAGATCCCCGGCATCTGCAAGGGCGGCCAGCAGCGCGTTCCATGAGATGACGGTCCTCTCGGGCATCTCGGAAAAAATCCGCTTAGCGATATCTAAATCCCCAGACTCGGCATATGCTGTCATGAGCGACGTCCACGACACGACGCTTCTCTCCGGGAGCCTATCAAACAGATATTTTGCGTCGCCAACTTGTGCGATCCGTGCATGCGCTGTGATCATTGTGTTCCACGAAACCAAGTGCCTCGCGGGCATCAGATCAAACACCACACTCGCTTCGTCAAGATGCCCGTTTTGGGCATAAGCTGCATGGAGGATCGACCACGAGTAGCCGTTGCGGGGCGAGATGCTAGCAAACGTCGCACACGCGTCGACGACGCTGCCGCATTTCCCATACATCTCCACCAGCCGATTGGCCAGGTAAGTCCTCGGAGCATCGCTCTCGGCGATGATCCGCGCGTGAACTTGTCTCGCAGCTCCCAGATCACACGCTTCGCCACAAGATCGAACGAGCTGCTCGAAGAAGCCACAAGAAGAGGGAGCGCATTGCCGCACTCTATCCATTCATCCATGACGATCATAAAACTCTCGAAAGGTATTCGATAAAGGGGACTATAATAAATAGGGCTGATTGAAACAAGTGAGATGGATTTGTGATTTTCATCTTCTGTACGGTACAGATACTTTTTGGGAACATAAGAAAAACCCTCGGCCCAAAAACTCTATAGCTTTTGGAGCTTCCAAGAATGCTTTTGTACAGTGCCTACGAATGAGCTCTAGTCTCTCTAGTCAAAGATTTTCTCTCCCGTGGCACAAGAATTCCAAAACAGCGTACTCACAATGTACATGCCCGACGTAAGTAGCAAAACTGCTTGAAACGATCCAAGCCACTGGACCAAGTAGCCAGTTCCCACCGTGCTCACGATGGCCGCGAATGTTCCTGCCGTGTTTGACAAGCCTGGAAAGACGAACACCACATAAGCTCTCTCTCTCGAGAAACCATGGCCAAAGCTTACCGTGAAGAACTCCTGCGTAGCTTGGTGCGATCTCCTGTAGCAAGCACCCGAGAAAGATCAGATCTTTGTATCAAAGTTGGGTCTTGATCTGACCTGATAGTTCACCAAATAACCAGCTTGACTGAAGGCACTCAAGGCAACCGCGATTGTCAGCCACGTAGAAGCGATCGCCGGGTGTCGAGTAGAGTTTAATCCAATCAGTGCAACCGCAGGGCCCAGAAAACCAATGGACTGCATAGAGAAAGAAACAAGAATTAAAGATGTCGACCATCATAAAAGTAACACTTTGCGCCTACCTGCATGATCTTCCTAACAGTCAAGGCGCGCATGCCCGACGAGATCATCAGGTCGGACCAAGCTCCAGCAAAGTAGCCGGAAGCAGCCATTGTCGCCCATGGAACTGCGCTGAACCACGCGGCTTGCTTAAGATTGACCCCCAGAACCTGTACTTACAAAAGACAAAGAAGAATTTAGAACGAAATTCGAGACCAAAACTCTGAATCCTTTCTACGTACTCGATTGAAGTAGACGGGCATCCATGTCAAGATAATGAAATAGCCCTGCAACCGAACCAATGCCTTAGAAAAAGAAGAAGATAAACAAAAGAAAAATTAAGCTTTTCTCACCCAGTTGTTCATAGCATTGGCAGCTATGATAGCCCAGCTCGGAAGTTTTGATAGCAGCAGTCGGAATGGTGGCATACCCACCCGAGCCGTCACTTTCCTCTTGTCAGTTCCATTCTGGATGAAGAGAAGTTCGTTCCTAGTGATCGTCCCGTGGTTTTGCGGGTCTTTCGAGATATGCATGTACCAAAGCGAAAGCCAGGCCAGTCCCACCGTCCCAAATGCGTAGAACGGGCCATCAATGCCGAACCTCGACATGAGTATCGGTGTGAGGAGAAGGCCGGAAACGTTTCCGAGGTGAAAACCCCCCATCGCAATCGCGACGGCTTTTGCTCGCTCGGAGCTCGGAAACCATCTGTTACGAAAGAATTAAAAGAAGTCGTCCAGCTTTTAGCAGAAGTTTAGAAGTTTAGACTCAAGACAAACCTGGAGACCATGTTGTTCATGCTAGGCATTGCTACTCCCTCTGCCAGGCCCATAAATACACGCACTGCTAAAAGCAAACCCAGAGACCGAGAAGCTGCCCAGGGAGTTATAAGCGTAGCTATGGACCAGAAGAAAACCCCCCATCCCATAACGCTCTTTCCGCCAAATCTATCTGCTAGAGCTCCACCGGGAATTGGTGACAACAAATATCCCCACAGAAAGGAAGACTGCAAGCGAAAAGTAGCAGCAAAGTTAAGACTCAACAATCGCAAAAGAGGAACTTTTCTGCTCTTACCTGAATAATTCCTGCAAAGCCGCTGCTCCAGTTGTGAGTAGCTGAGAGAGGGACAATAGCTACAGACATGATCACCCGAACTGCATTGCAAAGTCCCATCCCAAAGGCTAGCATTGCAGCCACCTTTATCCTTTCCGAGCTCAGCAGCGACAAGCCTGGAGCAGTGGACACGGCCCACTCGCGAGCAGCTAGAGCAGCCGAGGAAGGATCCGTAAAGTCCAAACTCTCCTCCGAAGAGATCACCTGAGCCTGACTTAAGAAATTCTCCCTCGTAGCTGTGCCAGCGCGAACATTTCTCGAGCTGTTGCCGCTGCTGCTGTCAATGTGCCTTGCACCAGTCGCGAGTCTTTTTCTCCTCCTCAGCGAGTAGACCCCTGGAGCAGCGAGGAACTGCTTCGATCCAATCCCACCCAGCCTCGCCCCCAAAAAACCAGCATGCGCCGCCTTTGCACACTCCATCCCGGATGCGAATGGATCAGAGCCACCACGAAAAGCTCGTTGGCTCAAGCACCAAGTAAAAATCCACCTGGTGCAGTAGATGAGATAAGAAAATCTAGCAACTTGCAAAACAAAGATATATACGCTTGGCACTCCGGCGCTCCGGTGGAGCAAATTCACGTGCTTAGTTTAATCACCTGCCATTCCAATCCACATAGTCAGCCCAGTGAAAAGAGAGTTAAAAACCAAAAAAAACAAACAGATCGAACAACTCGCTCACCTACTGAAACAACAGCAACGTGCCTCGTTGACCACCTTACAACATGATCTGTTCGCAACGTAAAAGGTGGAGCACCAAAGTAGCTTATCCGGATCTCAACTTGCGCGAGAGGGCGATGTGCCATCCATCGCCTCGTTAAATGCAAGTGCTTGTTTGAGAGCGAAGTATCCGGGTCGTCTCTCTTGGCAGCCTTTTGGGAAACCGGGTATCAGCACCACCAGATGGAACGTCGACCAAGTGATAACCTGGATTTCACTCCCGCTTCTCCATTTTAGTGCCGTCATTCTTCCTTGACTTGTTCTTGAGCTCAACTACGCAGACACACGGGTTTGATGCGCATACGTCTTCCTGGCACCTCGAATATGACTTGAGGCTGAGTAGTAGTTTCCCGTCGACTGTTGTGTGTAAGAAAGGCGTCCACTCGAGCATCTGTAAAGGGGGCTCCTCGTTTTTGTTTGCTTGTGCTGGTCAGCTCCTTGTAAGTGAATTACAGATTCCAAATGCCACTTGTCAGCTTAGCTGTGTTGACGTTACGAGATACCTTTCGGAGTGACAAATGCTTTCCTGTTTAGTGACCAAAGCTTCGCCAGAAGGCTCTCAACACTTCGCCGTCAACGAAAGGTCTCAAGGCCCACAGGGTACAATAGCTCTCGAGAGCTCCGGAGCGCGTCTCAAGGCTCAAGTCGTCTACAATTCTAGCCTGTCATTTGCAAAAGAATATCAAAACCAAAATCATTGAAACAAATATGAATTTACCTGCATTTCATAGTCCTGTTCGAGCATGGAGTACACAAGAGCCATCGTAGTGATTGTCTTCACCTTGTCCAGCATTTGTGAATCATCACCATCTTGCAAGGAAGAATTTAGTTTCTTGGTTTCATCGGGTATACCATCGATGAAGACTTCTGTAAAACCATCTAGGATTTTCTTGAGGACTTCCAAGCATCCGCGCACTGCAAAAAGTAAAAGAACAAAGTTGTAGAGCAGGCGCTTGAAACATATCACGAAAAATTACCAAACTTCACATGATCCCTCAGAGCTTTGATCGAGTTGTTCACTGGAGAAGACGGGTAGTACATTGGAATCGAGAGGCCAAAGAAAAGAAATACTCACGTCCAGTGATACTGGATTTGTCACTGCTGCGATGCCGGCAGCCTGCTTCGATGTATCTCGACAATCTCACACTCTTATTCCTCCCAAAAATCCCCTTCAAGACCGCCGAGCTCTCCGCGAGCGATGGCCTGCGGAGCATTTCTAAAACACTCATCAGAACACAACTAAAACAGTTTTACAAGGAAAAGCTGTACCGAGATTTTGCTGAAAACCGAGCAGCATCTGTGCGCTCGATCGCTGCGAACTCTCCAGCGCGATCCCTCTGCGACACCATTGCCGGTAAAAATCTAAACTAAAGAATGGAGAATGTAGCGCCTACCTCTTCACGAACTCCTCCAAGGCGCCGCCTTGCTCCGACTCCATGAAGAACCCTAAACCCTCCTCTCAAAATGAAATATTGTCCTTGGAGAAACCAGATGGATACCGACTCATACGTGGATTTCTTTCTCTGTTGGACTGGGACTACTTGGGTGTAAATTTTTTGCTCTTGTTCTTCTTCTCCTCCTTTTTCTTATTGTTTTGATACGATCTTTGGTCTTTGCTCTTGTCTCACTTGCTAAACAAACGAAACCACGTCGCTTGGCAGTAACAGAACAGCACCTGGCGTATCAGCAGCAGCCAAACTTCCTTGAAATCGTTGCAAATTTAATATTCGTATGGGTCTTCCAGGCTGGGCTCGCGTGGTAATCTGGGTTTTGCCAGGAAGAACAACCAAGAAAAAAAGAAAAATGAAAGCTATAAAACACAAAAACCAATGCAATCCGAATCCAGATCAATCCAACCATGATTCCCACAAAGAAGAAAAATATTTATCGAGCTTTTCTTGCGATGGTGTGTCTTTGTTAATCGTCTCGATCACACTCTAACCACACTGACGCAATGTTTTAAGCATTTCCATTGTTTTTTCTACTTCTACACACACTGTCCAGGAAGAAAAAAACAAAAGAACCAGCCTGCCTTTACGTTATTTCGCTCCTGCTGCAAGCTTTTAAGTATGTGACGACCACATCCAGATTGCCACACACCAACACTGACAAAGGAAAACAAAACAAAAAAAAAAACTGCCCAGCTTGCGAGTGGATGGAAATGCTATGAAAACTTTTGCCTCGCGTGATCGGAAGTTTCAGAAGCTGGAGAAAGAATAGTTAGCTTGATCACGCTGGAGCCATGAAAGATTATAAGTTTTTTGGTCGATCGATCTTATGTGTCTTTCACTTTCTCTTCCAGCTCTTTCTTTCTTCCCGCCCTCTCGATGAATGTCGCGGATGGAGACGACTTTAAACTCCAATCCTCTCCGCTGTCACAAAACACGGATCACTCAAACGCTCGCTTCCACTTCTCTCTCACTCGCTTGTTTTGACGTGAATATATACGCTCAGTTCCTTCGATCCAACCAAGCCTTCCCTGCGCTCTTGCCAGTTCTCCCACCAGTTCTTCCTCTCTTTTTCTTTCTTCCATCAAGTCCACAGACGTTACAGTTCCATGTTTTAATGGTGCTTGCAGGCACTAGTGCTTACACGCGCATATTCCACTGCCAAAACTGTCTCTCTTTCACTCGCGCATAATAGACCACCTGACTGGTTATAATCAAGCATTAAATCGATAAAATAAGTTCCTTGGCAGCAATGGCTATGGCATCGCACTCACCTCATTCATTCTTTCGCATGCTAAATAAGCGCGAAGGCTTTACTCACAATTACGCTTTTGATATTCCTTTCGAGGTCAACAAGGAAGGAAGAATTTCTTTTTAAGTGCCATCGCATTCGCCGCGACGCGATCGCACCGCTTAAGCCGAGTTTACGTCCCTCTCAAGCTCTCACACACCGAGATAACCTCACGCGCCAGCCAGCGGCTAAACGGAAGAGCGAAGAAGAAGCTAGAGCTCTAGGTGGCTAGCAGCGTTAGATTTTCGATCTGACACACACAAACACTCGCACACCTCCAATCCAAGTTTCAGAGTTTTGGAATTTAGATCGCTCACTAGGGGTATTTACAAAGTTTTTCCTGTGTAGGATTCACAAGGATCACTAGTGTCACAGTGAGGAGACTCTCTACAGAACTTGTCACAAATCTTGTGTCAAAGATCGATTTTTTCTAAGCCAGCAGCCAAAAGTTCTTTTGCCACTTGCTGTTGATGAGATATCCTCCGCAGTGTTTGCTCTTCCGCCGGACGGACAGCGTGAGGCAATCGGCGTGCTGGATGCAGTAGTCTATGGATTGATCGTCTCTGTTCCATCTCAAGCACCTGGAATTAAGATAAGAGTTCTCTGAGCGATCAAAGATTCTGGCAATGCAACTTGTGGAAAGCACTAAAACTCATGGAAAGGACCTTTAATGCGCAGGAGGAGCGAAGTACCTCTGGAAAAAGTTGAGCTTCTTCTGGCCCAGTACGAGGATCGACGCGTCCAGCTTCTTGGCTTGGCGGACGATTGTCGGCCCCCTCTCGCCGGCGACCACCACCATTTCCACATCCACCTGACGAGAGCCATCATCACCAAGTTTAGAGGCCAAGAACACTCATCGACAAAAGCAAAAGATCTCGCAAACCTCGGGTTGACGCAGCGCGCAAAGATTCTTGAGCGACGCGATGAGCTCGCAGCCTTTCTCCTCGGATCTCAGCCTCGTCTTATCCGAGACAATTGCTCGCGAATCTGCCAAGATCATCGAGACAACACGAGAGTAAGACACCCACATTGTCTGGATATGGCGACAACCTTGCGAATCGTAGACGAAGGGCTGCGAAGAACAAGGAGTGGAGTACAAGACATGGAGGAGCGTCACAACGTCGAGCTTGTGGACAACGTGAGAGAGCGCCCAGAGGAGCGCCGTCTTGGCCTCGCGGGAATCGTCCACCACCACCATGACGCGCTTCCTTGCCACCGCTTGCACGCCATGGAACGCTGCTGCTCCTCCTCCACCTCCGCCCCATTCCTCGCCACGGACGCTGGACGATCTAATCGACGCGCTGGGCGCGATCGCCGTGGCGATGGCGCCGCAGGTGCTGCCACTGCTGGAGCAAAAGCTGGAGCTGCTAGTGGCCGCTGTTCTTGACGAGCCCGAGGAGGAATCGGTGGACTCCACCATCATGGCTCGCTCCTCCTCTTCTTGTACTTCTTCCATCTCATTCTCCTTCACATCCTCTCCATCGCCGCGCGCGTGAGCTGCATTGGAGGATGAGAAGCAGAGCTCCACCAGGCGAGCTCGCTTCATGGCGCGATGGAGGAATGGCTGCTCTTGCTGCTGCTGGCGCTGCTGCGGCTGGTTCTTCTTGCTCCACGCCGGGAATCCAACAATCCATGGGCGCCGGCTGCTACTACTCCTGCCCATGAATGGTTTCATCGATCTCTCTCGCCAAGAAAGAGCCAAGGAGAGAGAAGGAGAGAAACAAAGAGTGGAGCGAGAGCTCCTTTCTTGGCTTGCAAGCGAACAAAAAGAAATAAAGAAGCTAGAAACCCAGAGGAGAAAGAGAAAGCCCCTCTCTCCAGTGTGAGAGAGAGAGAGAGAGAGGGGATTGGTAATCGATGTCTGCTAGCACCAGCGCAAAAGTGAACCGCATGGTGTGCCCGTCGTCCTCGCGCGCCTGGTCGAGAGAGACAAACAGTCCCGGGAAGAAACCGACATAGCCCGCGCGCTCGCTTCCTCTTTTGCTGTTGGGCGGCCGCAGTCTCACAAATGCGACCCAGTGAATCGAGAGAGAGAGAGAGAGAGGAGAAAACGACCTTTCGCGCTGCCTCTGTTTTTAGGGTTTAAAGTTATTGCGAAAAAATGGCCTAAATATTTGAGCTTTTACGGCTATGCTTCTCTTAACTGGATGTTTTGATCTTTTGATCATGAACCTGTGCAGCCCAACATATGGGACTACCCTTTCCTCCAGCTTACCAGGGCGCCAACTTCGCGTCGGCCAGCAGCGGAATCATGTCCAACACACACATGGTACGTTAGTATTTTCTTTGGATCGAAACAATACAAGAGTTCTCTTTTTTGCTCTCCACACAGATCGAAACCTTCAACAGGTTCAAGAGCACATTATGGAGTGTTGTCAACATCGAAGAAATCTTGAACAGCCAGCGTTCCTCCCAAGTTGGAGAGAGCATGGATTTCAAGCCGCTATTGTAGGTAGCGACCATGGATTGCGCTTGCGAGTTGCAGCTCCCGTCCTGGGCGTTGGCTGGAATGCAGCCTGTGGTGCTGAGGCCCACGATCACAAGCTTGCGAGCTCCATAGCCGTATAGTTTCTGGGAGCAGAAGTCACGAATCCACTGGATCCATGCGTGATTCTTCGAAGAGTTTTAGTGTACCTGGAACAAGCCGAGGACAAAGGAAGGATCATATGGCTGGCTTGTTTCCAGTGCAAATATAAGAGATGGACTTGGAGACGAGATCATTCGTTGTGGCTCATCATGAGTTTGATCATAGCTTGTATAGGATTCTATGATGCATCGACCGGGTGCTGCCTAATTACTGTAGCGATCGATCGATCCCAGTACACGCTTACTGGGATGGATTCCACAACACGGAAGCGTTTAACGAGATGGCTTCCGGGAAGTGGTGGAGTGGATCAATGGAGCCTCGCCCATGTCGGTCCAATCTCTAGCAGCTCAGTGAAAGTGATAATCATGGATCATTTTTGTGTTTTTTTTTCTTCGAAGATTTTGGTTCTTGTTCAACAAACTCCCAAGAGTTCTTTACCAACGAATTAGGTCTTTTGTTTTCTAGGAAAAATGATGCTAGGAGGAGCATGTGTTGCGCCATCGGTCATTCCTCTTGGGCTTCCATCTCGAGCTCGTTTGGTCAGGCGGCCGCGCTTCGTAAGGTGCTCGACCAATGGATCGCTGCATTCTTTTCCTCCTCCTTCTTCACAGGTAAGAAACGGTGAAAGAGTGTTTCGATTGTTCTAGCTTCTCTTGTGTAGCTTGTAGCGGCACAGGATTTTCGAACGCGAATGTAAGAATGGCTTCACCCATTTGGGCTTCGAAACTGTTTGGCTCTTTCTTCCCTTCGTCTTTTCAGCTTGGACAGGTTTAGAGGCCTTCTATGTTTCTTCAAAGAACAATTCAGCGAGTTTGGAAAGATCGAGTGGCCATCTTTTGACAACACGGTGCGTGGTTTTCTTCCTGAAAAAAGAAAAGGAAGACAACTTTGATCTTTGCTTTTCAGGTGAAAACGAGCCTGTTTGTCATTGCCTTGTCTTTCGTCCTCATCATCGCATTGACTGCTATGGACTCGGGCTACACGTTCGTTCTATCAAAGATGTTATAGCTCTCCCTAGATCGACAACTAGATTAAGAGTTTCTTCATTCCTCTAGTTTTGTCAAGCTCTAAGATGGTACACTTCTCTTTTACAGGTAGATCATCCGTGCTCTCTTCCACTTGGAGTCACTCTCTGATCAATCTTCTTTCGCTCTCTTTGTCGAGCTTTTCTACCATGAGCTTGAATGCCACCACGTCACACGGCAATCTGAGGCCTTCCTTGTGATCGAATCCAAACTCCTCGGCAGCTTTCTCGAGCAGCGCCTTGAACCAGGGGTGGCTTAGATGCCGAGCGCTCATCACGCACCGCCGCCTCTCCTCCCCGACGTACACCGCCAAGTATCCCTCCGGAACATCGTCTGGAGCAGCAGCGCAGGAGGACCCGTTGTGATCTTCATCGTCGCTGCTGGATCCATTCCAGTCGCTGCAATCCCAGGTGCCGGAGGAGCTATACGAGAAGGAACCGTGTGAGCTGGAGCGGCATGAGGACGTGCTCAAGCTCACAGATCTGGCAAAGATGGACGAGCTGGCCCTGCATCTCCGCCGCCGCTGCAGCCTCGCCTTGATCTTCTCGACAATGCTCATGATCGCCAGGCAACAATGACGATCTAGATGGAAAACAGTGGAAGAACAAACTAGAGAGAACAAAATGAAAGCAAAGAAAGGAAAGAGGACGAATACTTCTTTTCGAGGGTCGGCTTTTGGCTGGCCGTGTATATATGCGAAGGCAGAATAAAAAAGGAGAAAGATTTGTAGCTTGTTTGTCCTTGGATTTCCCTGTAGAGCACGATCTTTCTCATTCTCTCACTGTCTGTCTCTCCTTTTATTTTTTGGATCATATTCTCGAGAGCACTATGATCACATCGCTGTCACAAAGAATCTCATCGTCCCCCTTGACGAGCCAAAGTTTACATGGCAAAACCGCGCCTTTCGGTCAGTGAGTGCTCGGTGACAACGAAAGGGCTGTTGCCACCTCTGGCTCCACGAACCGTTTCCAATTCCGATGGCGTTGACACGAAAGTGGTTGAGGAATCTCACTGGCGGTACTTGGCCGTAGTGCTCGGGTACAATGTAAAGTACACTCCCATGATCCGCTCGTCACAGTCAAGAGATCGACTTGATCGCCAAGAACAGATCTTGCTGGTCGCTATCGCAGAATTGAAAAGTTCCCAGGCTCGGCAAGACGAATGCTGGCGGCGGTGTAGCTCTTTTGACAAGCTTGCCACCGAGCACTAAGTGGTAACTTCTTCGCGATCTTCCTTTGACGTGAGTGGAAGAGTTCCAGCAAAGGTGGCGGGCGAGTTCTACATGAAAATCACTTCACTTTGCCGAGACGTGGAGCTTCCGAGCTCCGGAGAGAGCACCCAAGGCTTTGGCGTCGGGCACAAACGGCATGCTTTGGATGATCTCTCTGGCAAACTCGACTTGCCCGGCCCGTCCCAGCAGGTCCACCATCGACGAGTAATGCTCGATCCCGGAGCCTCCTCCCAGCTCCTCCGCCATCGCCAGGAACAGAGACGAGCTCTCCTCCACCAGGCCGACATGGTTGCAAGCGGCGAGAACGCTCAAGTATGAGACTTGATCCGGCTGGAAACCAGCGGCGCGCATCGCACAGAGGAGATCCAGCGCGCGGTGGAACCGCCCGGAGCGACCATGCATGGAGATCATCGCGTTCCACGACACAAGGCTCCGCCGCGGCATTTGCTCAAAGAGAAGCTCCGCGTGTGCTACATGCCCACATTGGGCAAATGCTGCAAGAATCGCGTTCCATGAAGCTGTGTCCCTCTCCGGCATTCCCGAAAATATTCGCCGGGCGGACTCAAGATTTCGAGTCTGGCCGTAGCCTTGGATCAAAAGGTTGTGGGTTCCAACGCTTGGTCGGGGAATCTGGTCGAACAAGATCTTTGCATGGTCGATCTCCTTGTTGAGAACGCAAGCAGCTACGATTCCATTCCACGCCATCTCCTCGTCGTTATCGTTATTAGCTTTGCCACCTTTTGTCTTGGGCATTGAGTGGAAGACGTCTAGAGCTTGCGCTGTGAGGCCGCACTGTGAGTATGCCGCCACAATAGCGGTGTAGGATGCGGCATTTCGCTCCGGCATGGAATCGAAGATTCTTGACGCTTCCAAGGCAAGGGAGGCGGTAGAATATGCCTGGAGCATCATATTCCAAGCAAAGAGGGTCTTCTCGGGCATGGTGTCGAAGAGCTGTTTTGCTCTGTCAAAATGCCCCGTTATGGCATATGCATGAAGCATTGCGCCCCATGTCGCGGCGTTTGCCTCTGGCAACTTCGACAGCATTTTCTCAGCCAAAAAAATTCTATCGTTCTGTGCATACGCGGCAAGCATGGCATTGATCGAAACCATGTTCCATTCCGGAAGATCATAAAAAAGCGCTTCCGCATCTACAATATGCCCTAGCTGGGCATATGCTTGGATCATCGTTGTTGCACATACAACATTCCAGCACGGAAGACACTTGAAGCACCTTTTGCACAGGTCTATATTTCCAGAACGGAAATACGCGTTTAAAAGGCTCGCCCAAGACACGATGTCGTGCTCGGGCATGGTATCAAACGCACACTTTGCCTCCTCAATATGCCCCGCTACGGCATGTACCGCAAGCAAGGCATTCCACGTCACGAGGTTTCGCACGGGCATCGTACGGAAAAGCTGCCGGGCCTGGTTGATGCATCCGTACTGTGAATATGCTTCCAGCAGAGGCGTGCAAGAGAAAACATCCCACTCTGGCATATCGTCGAAGATTTTCTTGACGCCATCAAGGTGCCCGCAAAGGGCATTTGCTGCGAGCATCGTGTTGAAGGAAACGAGATCTACCACTGGCATCAAGTCCAGCGATTGCTGCGCGCTCTGGAGATCGCTGGAGAGAGAAAAGAGGTCCAGCATTGTGTTCCATGAGACCATGTCGCGGCAAGGGATGAGATCAAAGAGGCGGCGCGCTTGGTCGAGATCCCCGTTTTGGGTGTAGGCCTTGAGCATGATGTTCCAGGAGAACGTGTTCGGGCACGGGATGCTATCGAAGACCCTGCGCGCTTCCTCCGGGCGCCCACAACGCCCATACAAGTGGACCAGGAGATTTCCCAGGAATCGATCGTCACGGAGCTGTGCCGAGGAGGATATCTGCGAATGGAGCTGGATTCCCCGGGCGAGATCCCTGGAATTGGCACACGAGCGCAGGAGTGAGGCGTAGCGCTCTCGGATCTCGTCCAGAGTCTCGCCCCCATGAAAAATCATGGACCGAGGAAACCGCGATTTTTAAACTTCTTTCTTTCCAGTCAAACACAGTTAACTGAAAGTCAAAGAAATTGCGGTGACTAGCTTCTATCCAGAGAAAGTTATGTCACCCATCTCAGTTGTGCGAATCCATATTCTATTTAGAATTTCGATACTTAGAGCTCAGCCTTCTTTGGATGATGTTTGATACAAGACGTCTGAACGTCCTGGACCTTTCGCAATATTAACAATGCTTTCTGTCCATCTATAAAAGGAGATTCTATGCTTGCTTGCATTTATAGAGATCCCAATTGCAAGTCTCAAGTAAAGCGCTCTAACCATATAAATTGGGTTCCCCTAATTTAGCTTGGACCAACTTTCTTCATGTTTTCTCTTGTCTTGTCGAAAACAGTGAAGATCTCTTCACTGCCTTAACTATATAGTGTATGTGAGCAGCCTATGATCCTTCAAAAGTTTGAAGATGTGTGGCCTGCTGTTGACATCGATCAGAATTTGGATCATCTGGATCGCACCCCAAAACCTGGATTTCCACGGAAAATGCTAAAGTCTGAAGCAGTGGGGCAGCCCAGCAACAGCTCCAGGATCCACATCAAGATTCATATTCACGTGAAGTAACTTGCAATGTTGCAACTGACTCAACTTTGTTGCCTTTTAACCTGATCACATACTTTTAGTGCTACTTGTGATGGGGCATAGGCTAGGTACCACTTAAACAGTCAGTGAATCTTCCAACTTAGGAGCCTTGAATCACAGTGAAGCCCCTTGATATATATGAGATACCTTTGAGAGGGATTGAACCTTGGACTCTTATGGAAATTAGGTCCCAGCAAGGTATCCTGACGTGGGTTTGATGATGCAAAGGATTTGCCTGCTTGTCGCTCTTAAACATTTCCGATGCAGCAACAGAAAAACGGAGCCTGAAGACCAATGCGGGGACTTGGCTGCCATTGATCAGGTGACACAAGAGATAGCCTTGCTGGTGTCTGACTGTATTCCACGCAGCAGCTTCAGAGAGAAGGCACTGAGGCAGTTTTCAGATTATGACTAAAAGGGCACCACCACCACAGCTTCCACTTTGGAAAATCTAGATTGAAGCAGCACAAAGTGCTGGTGGATGCCTGTCTTGCACTGAGGGTGTGTAAACCTACACATTGCCGCCCACCCTTGGGTTTGAACGCCACCACCATGATTCCAAAGTGTTCAGTTATATTGCTGAAAAAAAAAAGTAAACTCTTTGAACAAGAACCTCATGGTTTTGACCACATTTCCCGTTGACAGAGTCGTGAATCTGAATCCATTGCCAGGTCAAAACTCCTACACTCTACACTAGAACTTACATATATACATTGTAGACCCCTTACCTGTATATAAAAAAGCCTATTGACCAGTGGAACATAATACATCACCAAGCTAAATTCCCCCCCTCTAATAGGAAGGAAAGAGGGGCTGCCTCCCTCCCTTTCTTAAAGTCGTCATGCTGCAATCTCCATTCTTGCTCATCTGTGTTCAGCGTTTCGATCTTGTTCTTCCTCAAAAACCAGGACATTTCTTAGATAAATTTTCCCAAAGTCATTCTTCATCTTGCAGGAAGCACCTGTCTTGGCTGTTCCATTCTGTGACTTACTACTTCGTTGAGTCCTGGGGTACTCGCCTGACGAGGGGGTTTGTGGTAGCCAACAGCGAGATGAATGCTGCAAAGAAGCCACCTGCCTGTATGCTGATCAGCGCTGTGGAGAGGTATGATGACCAGCTGAATGTTTCTCATCACAGGAAGTGCTTCGATTTGGAGCCTGTTGCGGCAGAAGAGCAGCAGCTACCTTGCTGTGCAGAGTCTCTCAAGTTATAATTCATCTACACAATGTGTCACAGCCAGCAAAGCAGAATCCTTTTTGGGTTACTGATTTAATATAGTTATATAGCTTATACAAATCATACTTAGGGAAACAGTTTTACTTGGTTGAGTTTGGAGTTCCTGACAAATTCTAGAAACATTTGGATGTTTGATGATCTGAAACCAAAATCTACTTAAATTGAAATGATTTCAGCTGATGCAAGTTGTTCACTACCTCCATCGCTATCTCAACTCTAGAATATTGGCAATGCCATAGAGGCTTCTAGTGAATCCCTTGCTGAATCCACTATAGATCCCACTATCTTTGCCTTTGATTAATGCTACAATGTAGTATATCCTCCACCACTTGATTCACACGCTCAATTTACCCATCCATTTGAGGATGATTGCCACTTAAGAGTTTCAAAGTCACTTGCATAGCCTTTGTAAATCTCTTCCAAAATCCACTTGTGAATTTTGAATCTCGATCACTAATGATATCCTTCAGCAAACCAAAATCAGGAAAAACCTTCTTCAAGTAGACTACAATTAAGATTGGGGTAGTGACAGTTTTCTAAAGAGCCAACAATTGCACATACTTCATCAACCAATCCACTATGACACATACTTGCTCCTTTTGCATCTATGTTCGTGGTAAACAAGTGATGAAGTCTATAAAAATACTACACCAAAGGCTTTGAAGAATAAGTAAAGGTTGCAAAAGTCCCCCCGGCTTCTCCTGTGGCACCTTAACCCACTAATAAAGTGTGAGACACAAAATCCCTAGGCCCCAAAGTGGAGCCAGAAAGGGTGCCACGTGGTAGTGGCCGAAGCGAAAGCCAAATAAGCATAACACGTTTGGACTAAAAGCTCTAACTTGGAAGGTCGAGAGCGGGAGTGGAACTCCCAACAAAGGGCTCGAGGAGCAAGCACGAGGCAACCAATAAGCAAGGCTCCAAAAAGGGACCCAAAAAGGATCAACACATGACATGTGGAAGTGTCCGAGATGGAGTCCGAGGCGGACCCGAGTTGGAGTCCAAGATGGACCCGAAGTGGAGTCCGAGATGGACTCGAAGTGGAGTCCGATATGGAGTCCGAGATGGAGTCCGAGATGGACCCGAGATGGAGACCGAGATGGACCCGAGATGGAGTCCGAGATGGACCCGAGATGGACCCGAGATGGAGTCTGAGATGGACCCGAGATGGAGGCCGAGATGGAGTCCGAGATGGACCCGAGATGGAGTCTGAGATGGAGTCCGAGATGGAGTCCGAGATGGACCCGAGATGGAGTCCGAGATGGAC